TTTTTTGGCGACGAAAGGCCATTTTCTTTAAATTTTGAAGGCTACAGATCACAGATTGGCATTAGGCTATTCTTCAACGATGATTATGTCCATTAAGTGCCGATTTGGTCGAATTTATTCCGGGCCCATTTTTGGCAGATTCCAAAGGGGTACCATCACAGATTTCGGGCAATTTTTTTCGAAATGCCATTTTCTTTCGATTCTAGAGGCTGTAGATCTTGGAATCATGCCGAGCCTATATACACCGATAATGAAGTCTATTGATACTATTCTCCATGGATGATAAGTCCATTAAACACCGATTTGGGGCAATTTATTTTCAAATGGCATTTTCATAAATTTTTTGGCAACGAAAGCCCACTTTCTTTGGATTTTGAAGGCTACAGATCACGGATTCGACCTGACGCTATTCTTCAACGATGATTAAGTCCATTAAGTGTCGATTTGGGCGAATTTATTAAGGGCCCATTTTTGGCATATTCCAAAAAGGTACCATCACAGATTTCGTCCAATTTTTCCGAAATTTCATTTTCTTTCGATTCTGGGGGCTGCAGATCACGAAATCATGCCGAGCCTATATCCACCGATAATGAAGTCTATTGATACTATTCTCCACGGATGATAAGTCAATTAAGCACCGATTTGCGCAAATTTATATTCAGATGGCATTTTCGTAATTTTTTTGGCGACGAATGGACATTTTCTTTGGATTTTGAAGGCTACAGATCACGGATTCGGGCTGAGGCTATTCTTCAACGATGATTAAGTCCATTAAGTGCCGATTTGGGCGAATTTATTCCGGGCCCATTTTTGGCAGATTCCAAAGGGGTACCATCACATATTTCGGACAATTTTTCCAAAATGCCATTTTCTTTCGATTCTAGAGGCTGCAGATCACGGAATCAGGCCGAGCCTATATTGACCGATAATGAAGGCTATTGATACTATTCTTCACGGATGATAAGTCCATTAAGCACCGATTTGGGCCAATTTATTTTCTAATGGCATTTTTATAATTTTTATGGCGACGAAAGGCCATTTTCTTTGGATTTTGAAGGCTACAGATCACGGATTCGACCTGAGGTTATTCTTCAACGATGATTAACTCCATTAAGTGCCGATTTGGGCGAATTTATTCAGGGCCCAATTTTGGCATATTCCAAAAGGGTACCATCACATATTTCGGGCAATTTTTCCGAAATGCCATTTTCTTTCGATTCTGGAGTCTGCAGATCACAGAATCAGGCCGAGCCTATATCCACCGATAAAGAAGTCTATTGATACTATTCTCCACGGATGATAAGTCCATTAAGCACCGATTTGGGCGAATTTATTTTCGGGTGGCATTTTCGTAATTTTTTTGGCGAAGAAATGCCATTTTCTTTGGATTTTGAAGGCTACAGATCACGGATTCGGCCTGAGGCTATTTTTCAACGATGATTATGTCCATTAAGTGCCGATTTGGGCGAATTTATTTCGGGCCCATATTTGGCAGATTTCAAAGGTGTACCATCACAGATTTCGTGCAATTTTTCCGAAATGCCATTTTCTTTTGATTTTGGAGGCTGTAGATCACGGAATCAGGCTGAGCCTATATCCACCGATAATGAAGTCTATTGATATTATTCTCCACGGATGATAAGTCCATTAAGCACCGATTTGGGCCAATTTATTTTCGGATGACAATTTCGTAATTTTTTTAGATCGAAAGACAATTTTCTTTGGATTTTGAAGGCTACAGATCACGTATTCGGCCTGATGCTATTCATCAATGATGATTAAGTCCTTTAAGTGCCGATTTGGGCGAATTTATTCCGGGCCTATTTTTGCCAGATTCCAAAGGGGTACCATCACAGATTTCGGGCAATTTTTCCGAAATGCCATTTTCTTTTGATTCTGGAGGCTGCAGATCACGGAATCAGGTCGAGCCTATATCCACCGTTAATGAAGTCTATAGAAACTATTCTCCACATATTATAAAGTCCATTAAGCACCGATTTGGGACAATTTATTTTTGGATGGCATTTTCGTAATTTTTTTCGGACGAAAGGCCATTTTCTTTGTATTTTGAAGGCTACAGATCACGGATTCGGCCTGAGGCTATTCTTCAACGATGATTAAGTCCATTAAGTGCCGATTTGAGAGAATTTATTCCGGGCCCATTTTTGGCAGTTTTCAAAGGCCTACCATCGCAGATTCCAGGCAATTTTTCCGAAATACCATTTTCTATCGATTCTGGAGGCTACAGATCACGGAATCAGGCCGAACCTATATCCACTAGTAATGAAGTCTATTGATACTATTCTCCACAGATGATAAGTCCATTCAGCACCGATTTGGGCCAATTTATATTGTGATGGCATTTTCGTAATTTTAGTGCCGACGAAAGGTCATTTTCTTTGGATTTTGAAGGCTACAGATCACGGAATCGGCCTGAGGCTATTCTTCAAATATGATTAAGCCAATTAAATGCCGATTATTGGAAATTTATTCTGGGCCCATTTTTGGCAGATTCCAAAGGGGTACCATTACAGATTTCGGGCAATTTTTCCGAAATGCCATTTTCTTTCTATTCTTGAGGCTGCAGATCACGGAATCAGGCCGAGCCTATATCCACCGATAATGAAGTCTATTGATACTATTCTCCACAGATGATAAGTCCATTAAGCACCGATTTGGGCCAATTTATATTCGGATAAGATTTTAGTAATTTTTTTGGCGACGAAAGGACATTTTTTTTTGGATTTTGAAGGCTACAGATCATGGATTCGGCCTGAGGCTATTCTTCAACGATGATTAAGTCCATTAAGTGCCGATTTAAGCGAATTTATTCCAGGCCTATTTTTGGCAGATTCCAAAGGGGTACCATCACAGATTTCGGGCAATTTTTCCGAAATGTCATTTTCTTTCTATTCTGGAGGCTGCAGATCACGAAATCAGGCCGAGCCTATATCCACCGATAATGAAGTCTATTGATACCAATCTCCACGGATAATAAGTCCATTAAGCACCGATTTGTGCCAATTTATTTTCAGATGGCATTTTTGTAATTTTATGGCGACGAAAGGCCATTTTCTTTGGATTTTGAAGGCTACAGATTACGAATTCGGCCTGAGCCTATTCTTCAACGATGATTAAGTCCATTAAGTGCCGATTTGGGCGAATTTATTCCGGACCCATTTTTGGCAGATTCCAAAGGGGTACCATCACAGATTTCGGGCAATTTTTCCGAAATGCCATTTTCTTTCGATTCAGGAGTCTGCAGATCACGGAATCAGGCCGAGCCTATATCCACCGATAATTAAGTCTATTGATACTATTCTCCACGGATGATAAGTCCATTAAGCACCGATTTGGGTCAATTTATTTTCTGATGGCATTTTCGTAATTTTTATGGCGACGAATGGCCATTTTCTTTGAATTTTGAAGGCTACAGATCACGAATTCGGCCTGATGCTATTTTTCAACGATGATTAAGTCCATTAAGTGCCGATTTGTGCGAATTTATTCCGGACCCATTTTTGGCAGATTCCAAAGGGGTACCATCACAAATTTCGGGCAATTTTTCCGAAATGCTATTTTCTTTCGATTCAGGAGGCTGCAGATCACGGAATCAGGCCGAGCCTATATCCACCGATAATTAAGTCTATTGATACTATTCTCCACGGATGATAAGTCCATTCTGCACCGATTTGGGCCAATTTATTTTCGGATGGCATTTTCGGAATTTTTTAGCGACGAAAGACCATTTTCTTTGAATTTTGAAGGCTACAGATCACAGATTGTCCTGAGGCTATTCTTCAACGATGATTAAGTCAATTAAGTGCCGATTTGGGCGAATTTATTCCAGTCCCATTTTTGGCAGATTCCAAAGGGGTACCATCACAGATTTCGGGCAATTTTTCCGAAATGCCATTTTCTTTCTATTCTGGAGGCTGCAGATCACGGAATCGGGCCGAGCCTATATCCACCGATAATGAAGTCTATTAATACTATTCTCCACGGATGATAAGTCCATTAAGGACCGATTTGGGGCAAATTATTTTCTAATGGCATTTTCGTAATTTTTTTGGCGAAGAAATGCCATTTTCTTTGGATTTTGAAGGCTACAGATCACGGATTCGGCCTGAGGCTATTCTTCAACGATGATTAAGTCCATTAAGTGCCGATTTGGGCGAATTTATTCCGGGCCCATTTTTGACAGATTTCAATGGGGTACCATCACATATTTCGGGCAATTTTTCCAAATGTCATTTTCTTTCGATTCTGTATGATGCAGATCACGGAATCAGGCCGAGCCTATATCCACCAATAATGAAGTCAAATACTATTACTCTCTTGCCATATTGCTAAGAATGAAAGTGATTTCGTTGATCTTAAATCAAATTCCTCTTGCAAAGAAAAGACAACAAAGATGTAAAATCATATTAAAATAAATTTTATGAGGATAAAATAGTCTTAAACATAGATTTGTACTCATTCCTCAAACCCGACAGTTTATTAAAGATTTACAATTTCATGGGATTTACAGATTTGAGACCAAATTTAGATCCAAATCCGTGGACCCCACACATTTAGTTCTTTTTCATTTAGCTCAAGCAAACAAAGAATTTGTAAAAAAATATATCATGCTTGGGTTTTGGATTACAAATCCGTCACCCAAATCCAGCAACCAAACGATCTTTAATCTTAACAAACAATCAAGTGACTGCATCATTAACAAGACATGTCATGATTATTCACAAGTGTTGTAATAATTAAAAGAATACAATCTTCGGACGAAAGGTTATTATAATTTAAAAATAATTTTTGATGTTACAATAGTCTCATTCTCATATGAAATTCAATACTTCAAATAATTTGAAAAAATAAAATATATGTTAAAAGGTACATTGTGTTCAAATAAATTTCGGAATAGGGCAACGATTAATAAATTAAAAATAGAGAAATTAAAATTAAGAGCCTAAATGCAGTTGCTATGCGCAATTGCGCATCCTTCCTGGGGTTTGGCCGTTTGGGATAAATGTTTTAAGGCCAATCAATTTGTTTCCGCATTCAGGTCGCCGTCGCTTCTTTCCCTCTTGGCTTTTCATAATTCGTTATCCTGCAGTCTTCTCCGGCAACGATCAATCGCTGAGGCGGCCAATCTTTGTAGCCATTGCAGCTAATTCTTATCCCCTGCACTACTGACCCATTTCTACGGTGCTGGATTTCTCCATGTAAGTTCTTCATTTTCTCATTTTCTTTCCTCTCTCTTCAATTCGAAACATATTGTTATTGCCAATTTGGGCAAAAGAACAAAGCTTTGCCCATAAGATTTTACCGATAAATTTCCTGCCTTTTGATTGAAAGGCTGAAGAATTTCATGAGAAATGCAGTGGGCGCTTCGTGAAATTCTGCGCAGTGTTCTTTGTTAGCTGCCCTTCTCTTCCTTTCATTTCCTCAATCAGTTCATCTGTGTGAGGCTGCGTTGGTCGTCATTTAACTTGCCTCAGGCATGCCCAAGCCAATATTTGTGACAGAAACTGATTAGTACATATCACGGTAGGAATTGTATTGGAATTGACTAGCGAGGAAATGGATGCGAACTTTGTTTTATTTTCTGATGAGCACACCTTTCCCCAATTAAATGGATGAGCATGTTGATAGCTCCTAATTGGATAAAAGGGGATTCACCTTGAAGTACGCCATCAATTCTCCATCAATTCCCCTTGAGGGTGCTTCAAGTTGGCCAGCTTAGCTCACAAATGAATTCTGCTGTCAATCGTTCTCGATGTTTTTAGTAATGTTAGCCCCAAGTCCAGGGTGTGGTTGATGTTTTTATTTGCACATTACACTAGCTCAACACCCTTTGGGTTGTTTCACATTGGCCGAAAGAGTGCGAAAATGTAAGATTTTGACGTTTCTCCTTTTTGTCGATGATAGGAAAGACGAACATCAACCTGTCATCCCGGGATTGCCAGATGACTTGGCTATGCGTTGTCTGGCGAAGTTGTCCCACGGATATCATGGGGTTCTTGAAAGCGTCTCACAAAGATGGAAACATTTGATTAGCAGCTCAGACTATGCACACTATAAAGCTAAAGAAGGATGGTGTGGTGATTGGTTGTTCGTTCTCACCGAGCAGTCCCAAAGGCAGTGGGTTGCCTATGATCCTGATGCAGACAGATGGCATCCTCTGCCTAAGATTTCAGGAGAGTATGCAGATTGGCAGCACTTTGGATTTTCTTGTGTTTGTGTTCAGAACCGGCTCTTAGTGATTGGGGGAACTCATGCACAACAGGATTTGTCAAGTTGCCAAAAGCCTTCGGTAACTAATCAGGTGCTTCAGTTCGATCCATATAAGAAACAGTGGACTAGTGTTGCAAGAATGCGGACCCCACGCTCACAGTTCGCTTGCAGTGTTGTTTCTGGGAAGGTTTATGTAGCAGGGGGTCGCAACTTATGCTGCACCAGAGGGCTTTCGCTTGCTGAGGTTTATGATCCTCTAACCGATAAGTATGTTAATTTTGGACAACCTATAACATTTGTTCGATATTCTTCAACTTGTTATGGTAGTTCTTCTTATTAGCTTAAAAGAGTCACAAAACCTAATATAGTGATCAATTGTTATTTGCTTTGCGTGCTCCAGTTTAATTCTAACTTTCAGTTTGTGCTTCCAATCTGAAATCCAAACTTTTGAGCAGCTTATATGTTTTGCTTCAATTGAAAATACCACATTGTAACTCTTAGTCATGAGCAGCTGCGAAGCAACTTATAATACACTACATTGCTGATCTTCTACACTAAGATCGCAGGTTCAACCCTTCTTGCTTGTCAGTCTTTTTGAAATAATTGAGACAAAGACTGTTGGATTATATGATTAATTTATCACTCTCATTATTTGTTAGCAACATAAATTTTGCCGTTGGAGAGACTATTTAAGAATTTCTTTTTCTCTTTTAGTCGAGCTTGTGGGTATTCGTTGATGCTTGTTGCTACAGTGAACTGTAACATTGATGAATGTGTTCTGTTGTTTGTATATATTGAAACTCTTAAGAGAATTATAATTTCGTCTCCAACCAGTTAACTGGGGCTTTGGAGAAACATTCCCACCATCTTTTATGTAAATTCAATAACTGACACATACCACATCTTGTGCTAGTTTATGATCCTTGAATTTGCATAAGATTTATGCTTTACCGAGTGATTCGTAACTTGCCTCCCTTCTCGTTCAGTTTTGTTCTTTTCCCTTACATTTTGTGTATTGCTCCCCACAAAGATACTACTTTAGTTCTCATTTCAGTAGATTGTTTCTTTGGTGTTGCTTCCTTATTGTTTGCACCTTCCAGGAAGCATGCCATGAAGTTTCTTAACCATGAGTCCATGACATGGCTTTTTGAATACTGCAGATGGGAGGAATTGCCTGCTATGCACATACCACAAGTGGATTGTTTAGGCTTGTCATATCGAGGCAAGTTCCATGTTTTAAGTGACCAGGTAGGCCTGTCAGATGTGAATACATCTCAAGTTTTTGATCCTTCAAACACAACATGGGCAACGGTGGAGGACGTCTGGCCTTTCTCCCGGGCAATGCAATTTGCTGTTCAGGTTATGGGCGATGGGCAAGTGTACACAGTTGTCGATTGGGGTGAGAGCCTCATTAAGACGAGGGACTCCGAAGATGGAGAGTGGTATAATGTCGGTTCTGTCCCTGCTGTCATCCTAAATAACCATGCACGTGCATTAGAAGCCTTTGCCTACGGGTTTGCTTCATTGAGAGGTGAACTATATGTGTTGGGGGGAAAGGTTCTCAAGTGGGAAGAAGCAGGAGCTGGGAGGTTTGACATTGTGCGATTGGCTCTGGTTAGGGTTTGTGATCCCAAGGTCAGGCCATTGAAGTGGAAAGAAACTCGGCCGATGTGTGGGTTTGCACGTGGCTGTATACTGGGATGTGCTTCCTTGGAGCAGGAAGAATCTGTATGATCTAAAGGTAATTGAACATATTTTCACAGCACAGTTCACTCATACAGCCTGAATGGACAATGCACTGAATAGGTCTTCTGTTAGTTTTTTGGTCTCAACTCTCAACATGTTTTCTAATCATCTGCATGCTTACTACTAAATAATTATCGATTATAATCCATTATACAACCGAGTACGATGAAAGAACTGATTTCAATGTCTCTGCATGATTTGCTCTGGGGAATGCAATGTGCTTGAGATAGAAACCTCAAAAGTTAGCAGATGCTTACTATATCTCTTTCAGGTTATATTGTCTAGATGACTGCTACCTCGTTTGCAAGTTACAGTCGAAGGAGTGTGGAAGCCTTCTACAGATTTCAGGATGATGTATCTGCAATATTATTTCATGATCTTTGAGGTGGATACAATCAAGACGTGCCACGTCGGCGGCGAGGTGTATATTATGTATTTCTTCATGGTGTTTAAGAACCTCGAAACAAATAACTTAGACTAGATTGTATAACTGTCGTTACTGGGCTCACCATTGACTTCGTCTGCTGAGTCTTGGCTGGAAGTATGTACCTGTACTACTGTACCAAAATTCCTGACTGTACCATATGTAAGAAATTTGCAGAAAGGTTGCTTCAGCTCCTAGATGTGTTCTTATTTACTCCTATAGTGTTGTTCAAATAATTAAAGAGTGGTGCTTGAATCATTTGAATCGACTAAAAATGGTTCTAAGCATATTTTAGTAGTAGCATATGTACTTGATATTGAATTTTATGTGGATTAAATGATGGTAGAATAGACTCCAAGGCAGAATCTTTGATTCGCAGAAGCTCAGCAACCTATCGTACCTGTTTAATCACTTCTATGTAGAGGTGGCAAATGGATTGGATCCATGGGTTGGTGGATTTGATTAGTGGATTCATGGATCAGATGGATTGGATCCAATGGACTGGAGGATTCATGGATTGGATCAATTGGATTGGTGGATTATCCATGAATCCAAATGACATCATCAACCTTGAACCAATATGTAAAATGTGAAAAGTTTAGGTACTAAAATGTTATAATGAAAATTTTTAGGTACCAAAACTTAATTTTCCAATGATATTTTTCGTACAAAAAATTAAATTTTGGGTACCAAAATATAAAATATAAAAATTATAGATACCAACCGTAATTTGCTATTTGGATCCATGGATTGATCCATCAATCCACCAACCCAATTGGATTTGGATCAAATGGATTGGATTTAAATCGATTGAATTAGGTAGATATTTTTAATGGATTGATGGATTGAATTGATGGATTGGATTCCTTTAGTGGTGGAGGCGCTTGTCCTCAGAGAGGCTCTCCTCTGGTGTGTGGCCAATGGGATTCAAGATGTGCATTTTGAAGGCGATGCCAAGATCATCATTGATAAAGTCAATCGCGCTGAGACTAATGATAGCAGGGTTGGAGTGATTTTGGGCGAAATAAGGCATTATATGGGACATCAGCCGGGGTTTAGTTTGCGATTTATAGGACGGAGAAACAATAGGGTAGCTCATGCGGTGGCTAGAAAGGCCCTTTCTTTGTCCCCGTCTATGTGTCGCGGGTTTAATTTCCAGACCTGGCTGTTCTCCAGGATGTAACCGTATCTCTTTCTCAATCAATATATGATTATCTTTTGTAAAAAAAAAAAAAATTTGATGGATTGGATTGAGAATTTAACTCATGTGGAAAGATCAGAATTCAGAAATATGAAATTGGAGAAGGAAATCTTCACGGGGAAACCTTCTCACTTCACTCTTCATTTCTTTTCTTCAAGAACTCTTCACCCACGTACGTCTCAACATGTTTCACGAGGGGCGGAAAAACCAAACCGTTAGAACTTGCGTTTAGGGAAGGATGAGAGATTCATCATTTTTATTATTGGGGAAAAAGATTACAAAAACTACAAGCCAGAACGTAACTAATGCGGTTGCGCGCGTTAATTACCACGTGCTTCTCATCAGTTTTTTTTTTTTTTAAATTCTTAGGAAAAATTAAAAAACGTACAAACCAGAACGTAACGAACATTGCCGGCCGGCCGCCGACTTATTTCCTCGCACGGACATGCCTGCCGCCACCTCACTGCCACGGCCACGGCCACGGCCACTTCCACCCGTCGTCTCCGCCACCTGTCTCCTCCCCATTGGCCATGTCGACCCTCTTCCACTCCCCCGCCGCCGGTTTGACCCCGTACTTCGACCACCCAAAGTAATCATTCACCCTCACCTTCTTCACCGTCGCCCCGCCGACGTTGACCAGACAGAGCCCCTGGCGGTTGGCCATCAGGTAGCTCTTCTTCCCCCTGTCCGCCTCCCTCTCCGCCGCCAGGTCGTTGAAAAGCTCCGTCAGCCGCTCGCCCTGAATCGTGACGCCGTTAACCTCGACCGCCTCGTGGGTGGCCAGGCCCTGGCGCAGCTGGTCCGGGTCGTTGCTCACCCGGGCCAACTGGCCGACCCAGCCGTCGTCGCCGGCTCGGGTGATGTCGAACCCGTTTGGGTCGCCCTTGTACTCGGAGACGTAGAGGGCCACGATTTTGCCCGCGCTGGTCTTCTCGTCTTTGGTGGCGGTGTGGATGAATTGCTTGTCCGACGCCAAGCTGAACGTTTTCGCCATTTTTTTTTTGTGTGTGTGTGTGAGGATGTTTGTATGGATTTTCGGTCTAGTTCGATTAGAATGCAGATGGGATGAAAGGTTTTTGGTGATGTGTATTTATAGGGCCGGGATGAATGCATGCGTGACACGACTCACATGTAGGAATGACAACGAGTCAGGTTAATTGGGTCGGTTTTTTTTTTTTTTAAATTCCAGCTCAATTTAACTGGTGCACTCGTTAATAAACTCGGTAAAATATGCGCAATGACTTTAAGAAGAGCAAATCCAACCCAGCCCAACCAAACGGGGTGTTAATGCTTTCACGAACATAACTTAAAATTATTTCAATCGCAATCTGTATAAAAATTAATAACATTCATGAATTATCTATATTTTTTTTATGTTAGAGACAAAATTAAGTCGCTTCTGTGCGGGTCGGGTGTAACGCGGATTGAATTTTGATAAAATCTAAGCACACTCCCAACCCGTCGATTTTCAAAGCAAGGAAAATCTATGAGTCGGAGTTCAATTGTCATTTCTAGTCGCATCAAATCGAAAAGAGAGAGAGGCTGATTATTGTCGATATATCATCAATGAGTGACGGAAGTACAACAGCACACGAGAAAATTTTGAGTGGTGGGAAATTGGTTGAGTTTGGCAGTAAGTACAGCCAGCCAGAACTATTTGGACTGTTTCTCTGTTTTCGTGTGGTGTATAATCTGTTGGAAGGAAGCGTAAGCAATAATTGTGGATGGCAATAAGAGAATTGAGGAATTCAGGTTCGTCGGGTGGGCACGATTTTCATTTTTCTAAAAATAGAGAGAAAATTGACCGAACGATAAAAAAAATTTTTTTTGAACAAATAAACTTTTACTAAATCTATACACCACCTCTCGTTCGTTTCAATAATTGAAGTTGGGCTGGACCAATGTGCAGCTCAATAATTCACAGACGTAAAGTAAACCGCATGCAGCGAAGAAAGAAACTTCTGAGCAGTGAGAATTTGTTAGGATTGGGCAGTGAGTTCAGACTTCAGAGCGGAAGTTATAAGAGTGAAGCCATGTTAAGATTAACTAGTAATTTTCCTACATTCACAACAACAATTATGTTGCGCTTTCAGGAAGTATAGTGCAGCACTATGGAGGATGTTAATTTGACTATGAGAAATCTATCTCCGTCTCGTCTTTTTGTTGGTTGATATTGTTGATTAGTGAGTTTGGGAGATTTGTGTTGGACTCATTATCCTTGTGAACTTGAAAAGTTTTTTTTTGTTGGGTGAAAGGTGCTCTATTTTTTAACGTGCTTTAAATGTGAAAGAGTCTCTCATGTATTTTGGCAACTGGGCATAGTGTTTAATGAATCCGTGGAAGGATTTATGATCTAGAATCGGTTTGAGCTTTGAGGATGCGTAAGGGAGACAAAGATATTGCTTCCGAACCTTCATCTGCTACTCTCCATCCTCCCTTACACCTCTCCTTCTCAGGAGACTTGATAGAGAAGAGACCGTTGCTTCTGCTAAAAAATCGAGATACCTCGGCTCTTTTTTTTTTATCTCACATGTGTGACAACCCGTCATTAACTTAGGTTGATCGCTATAGATCGAGCCTAGGGATAGAAGTGTGCTTTAGGAAATGATTTGTGTAAAGTAAGTTTAGGATCTTCTTGCATCCAAACCTTCTCCTACTACCTTCAATTCTCACTTTACACCTCTTTTTCCACATGGCTAGATAGAGAAGTGGATGGCGTTTCCGCTCTAACCACGAGATAGAGCCCTTATTTTGCGAAGCTGTGGTTTTGATGTCGTAAGCGACAATGTTAAGTTGAGGTTTTAAAGTTTGAGCTCTTTGAAGTAGGAACACCACCAATCGAGTCTATTGATTTCAAATGTTTTTGGGAGTCCCTTCATAACATGCCTTGTGTCTCGACTCCACTAGTCGACAAGGTCCCGACTTGAGTTTGTGCTTCACATCGAGGGGGTTGGGAAATTTCTTGTCTCTGGTTGACCTCGTAATGAGCTAGTTGTCCCGCTACTGATGATCAAGATTGCATACCATTGCGAGGGTCTGTCAAGTTGACTAGTTTGAATTAGCTTTGCTCGAGGACAAGCAAACAATTAAGTGTGGATGAGTTTGATTCGTGCTTAATTCTACATGCTTAGACCCTCATTTCTTGATTGATTTGCTTTGAATACTCGTTCCTTGGACTCTTTTGCGCTAGGTTGTATTTTTTGTCATATTTCAGGTCCTAGTACGTGGGGAAGCTTAAGAGTGATTCCGGGGCATTTGGAGGTCAAAATTATCCAAAAGGTAGAGTATGTGCAAAGGTCACGGGTTGAGTGCAAAACTCACGGTCAGGGTGGTGACATTCGCATTTCGCACACAAGCAGTGAGAATTACACAGTTGCAGCTGCGCAACCTCATTTTGCGGGCATGTGACAGAAAACTGTGACTTTTGACACAGGGGCAGTGATGGCAATGGGGCGGGTACCTCAATACCCATGCCCCGACCCACGCTATTGCGGGTCAGGGTAGGTAATACCTGCTCACGTGGCGGGTCGGCCCACTGTTACATGTTATTTAAAAAAATACACGCAAACTTTTACTTTTTATAATAAAACGAAGGGGGGAAAACTTATGAATGAAAAATATAGGGACAGTAGAATGGGTAATTGAGTCTATCTAGTCGAGACATCGACTCTAGCCAGTTGAAGAACAGTTAAAATATGAGAAGTATGAATAGATACTATAAGAAATTGAAATATAATGGACCAAAAATAGGACGAGGCAGGGCGGGTCACAATTAGATATCCATGCCCCGCCCCATGCTACTGCATATCGAGTGATACCTACCATCTCGGTTAGCCGAGACCGAGAGCATATTAAAATTGGCAATCAAAACCGCTGCCGAAACGACTTATCTGTTAGCCAAAGATATATGCTCAATTTGGTTTGGAGGTTAACCTACAATCTCATTTAGCCCTTTAATGGTTGGATTTTGGTTACAAGCCGAACCAAAATGAAAAAAAAAAAAAGCACTTAATTGTTGGCTGCTGGGAAGAGACAGAGAAGGATAGGAATGTGATGTTACGTTGAGGATGATACAGTCACATATGCCTATATTAATACATGTATTGATGACATTAAATTGCTTGCTCATAAAAATAAATCACTTGCTTAAAATCATGTATAGAAAGCTTTATTCAGCCTGTTTATCACTACTCGATCGTTCGGATACCTTAATTAATTATCAGCACATTTAACTGTAACCCACTGGCTAACCAGAAATTATACAGTAATTAAAATCAAGTGGCGGAGAGGTTAGCGTCCGCATGATCCGGGTCGGGTTTTTCCACTCCGTCGACGCTCCGCAGCCAAAAGCTCTGCCCCAAGCTGGCGGCGTTCTCCGGCACGTCCTCCATCACCCACTCCTGCCCTCGAGGGAAATATATCCCCGTCCGAGGATCCGGCACCCACCAACCCGCCGCCGCCCTCGATTCATCCTCCTTCTCAACCCCGCCGCCGCCGCCGCTCCTCCTCCTCCCCCCGCCGCCAAGCGTAACTGACTTCATATTCCTTAACTTCCCCACAAACGTCCTGCTGCTAGTAACGCCGAAACGACGCCTCATCGCCAGTATTATTGCTGCCATGCACGCACGCACTTAAAAAAAAAAAAAGACAGGTTTAAAGGAAAAGCAAATCGGAACAAAACGCTAAAATTTGCACCACACGCCTAGAGGAAGTTTGTTCAAGGATATTATGATAATAGTTTCTTCTGGAAATCTCGGCAGTTTAAATAGTAGTGTTTGTGACGATCGTTGATGTTACGTTTCATTCGGGTTTCTTTTTAATCACCGGCGGTGGTCTGTTTCTCCTGCTGGAATCTTTTTTTATTATGTGTGATTTTTTGGTCCATCGTTAATTTTGTTGTTTCGAAGAATAAGTTCTGTTTACTTATGTCCACATGCATGATGATCAAAGGGGAGGCTTGATGATGTGATGAAAAGATTATTATTATGATGCGATGAAAAAGCTAGCCACACGCTATACCTATAGATTGAAATCGAAGCCAATGATAGTTCTATTGTTGGAAGCCAGAACCTTTTCCCGACCTAATGTTTTGTCTCCGGTTTAGAAGAAACTATAATGTGAAGTACAGTGGGTGCACTAGTTCTTACAAGTGAATTGCATTATTAGTATAGTTTATTTGCTTTCGGTTAGAGGTAGCGAGTCCGGGTGGGTTCGGATTGTGTTCAATCAGGTTATGGATTTATCGGGTTGTAGATTATTCCGGTTCGGGTTCAACTGGGTTGCGGATTAGTCGGGTTACAGGTTAATCGAGTTATGAGTCAGTCGGGTTGCGGGTCCACGCGGGCCGGGCGGGTTGCGAACGGATCTGGTTGCGAGTTGTTCGAGTCAACGCATTGTGTTGCTTACTCTTTACTCATTACAACTTACACTTTATTTATTACACTAATTTCCAAAAAAAAAAAAAAAAATCTTAATTTTTTGAAAATTTATTTCTACCTCATATTCATATATGTAGTTATAGAAGGTTTTTTGATAGAATTACATATAAAAGTTTGGGCAAATACAATATATTAGCCATAACTATTAAGCAGCGGATAATTATAGCCACAACTATCGAAATACAAATTATTAGCCAATCGTTAAGTTTTCGTTAACACTTCTGTTAGTAATGATGACTAAGCTTTTACGATGGTGAGCTGGCTCCCACGTGGCAGTCATCATATCATATTTTTTACGATGCTGACATGGCCTTCTACGTTAAAAATTTGAAAACAGTAACGGGCTGTTAGCCAAATCTTGACTCACAACAATAGTTATGGCTAATAATTTGTATTTCGATAGTTGTGACTATAATTCCCCGCTGTTTAATAGTTATGGATAATATATTGTATTTACCCTAAAAGTTTAGAAAATTTGTCAAAGAGCAACATTAATGTTATATTCTTTTAGATGACTGAGTTATTGCAATCGTATAAGTTAACAGACAAGTTTAACTCGCATAAAAAGTGTTATCTATTACATATATTTCAAAGATACTTTAAAATACAACTTGGAATTGTACCATAACGTTAAATGGACAAATTAAAGTTGTACCATAAGAGAATTTAACTTTTATATTATGGTACAACATAAAAGTACAACTTTAATTTATAAATAAATAGATTTTACAAAATAGTATAAGTATAACCTAAAGTTCCACCGTAAAAAAAAACTAAAGCACTAAAGCATGTTTATGGAAGAAATACTCACATAGGCGAGTCCGTGTGGGCATATAAAAGTTTCTAGTCACCGCGTCCTGTAGGTCAATTTCGGTTAGATGATTCTGATGATGTACGTCATATTTAGTGGAAGATTTTGGTGTCTAAGTGTCTGTGAAGAATAATTCTTTAAACTTTTCTTGTGTAAAGAGTGGCATAGTTATTGTGCCCTGTCCTCATCTATGAAAGTACCATATAGGAACGTGTCGAGTTTAGAGTATTTGTTCAAATAGCATCTTTGATCATTTAGTTAATTATTCCTCAATTCTTTATATTCTATCCTACCACTAATAAATATATGAAAAATTAAATGATAGTATACTTTTGTAATGCACTATACTTCAAATGATCCTAGCTTGTTCGATCAGTACTATTCATTATCTATATATTTACTCTCTAAACCGTCTTGCTTCGTAAGAAAGAAAAAGAACGTCTATTAATGCTAGATGTACTTCGACAATCAATTGGAATCGTCAACTTTTTGTTTTTATCAAATTAATTTTGATGTTTGGGTTTAGATAATTAAGGCACCGTGTTCATCCATTAAAGGTTAGATATAGCCCGTATAGCATCATACAACAAATTCTTATTAATTCATGAATTGGTGATTATTCATCTTAAGTGAACCCGAATTTGTTTACCTCATTCTTAAATATATGAACTACCCATCAAAGATTGAGATGAATCATCCCCAAATGCATTTAAATTCGTCACTTCATGGTACAATTACTCAGCTTGAGTTTATTATCTACTCAATACAGGTTTGTAGATGATTAAAACTAGGGCTAATACCACTGGGAAACCCGAACTATTAACTTTGTGCCATTTGTGTCCTAAAGTATTCGATACGACAATTGTGTCCCAAACTATTATAGTTTTGTGTCATTTATGTCCTGACGATTTTGTTGACCGTTATATATAACGGTTGACCAGACGGTGGTCAACTTGATGTTGACTTTTGCTGACGTGGTAAACACGTGGCAGCCACGTAGATGCCATGTCAGTGACACCTCATATTTTTAATTAAAAATTAAATAAATACTAAAATTGAAAAAACTAAAAAAATATATATATATATAAACTCACCTAAGCAATCAATCCGAACAATTAAATAAATACTAAAATTAAAAAAAATCAATGCAATAAAAAAATTCTCCTGTGCCTAGCCCATAAATCCCCGCCGCTTGAATGCTCTCTTCGTCATTGTCAAACAAGAATGCTCTCAAACAATCAATTCCGGCCGCCACTGTCGAACAATCAATCCCCGCCCGCCGCTGTCAAACAATCAATTCTTCGCCTCCCCGTCGCCTTACCTCCAAATCCAGAAGTTCGATGTCGCCTCCACCACCGACATTGTCACCAGCGCCGCCGCAGATGGAATAGAGAAGTTCTCTATCCCGTCGCACCAGCTGGTCATCGAGCACGAGATAGACCAGAACCCCTAGGCCACCAACCCAAACGCCGACGCTGAGATTTTCTTCATGAGCTCCTACGCCTGAGCGAGGCTCGTTGGGTGTTGGCTCTCCGGCTGCAGGTCGTCCACCATCACCATAACCGCCACCCTCCCCTTCTTCGCCGCCCCGCCACCGAACAGATCCAGATGAGGGAAATCGAAAACGAAAACGAAATTGAGAACAGAGTAAGCAAAGCGCGGTGGTGGCAGGGGATTATAAGAGGAGAAGGAGAAGGCGGAGAAAGGCCAGGGGTCGGATGAAGGGATAACGATCTAGGGTTTGCGATCTAGATTTACCTTCCCGCGTTCTCGATTTGGATATGGGGGAGTTGAAGAGACGCCTGCGGTTGCGGAGGGGGAGAGGGAAGCTTGAGTCTCCTTCCGACGGAGAAGTCGATGGGGGAGGATGATGATGCCGGTGAGCTGAGTCAGCCGCGACCGGAAGAACATCGATGGGGGAGGATGATGACGACGATGAGCTGAGTCTCCTCCGGCTTTTTTCCCTTTCTTTTTCATCTGCTTCGATCTCACTCACTTCTAGCCACCCAGAAAACACAATCCGAACCCAACTCACTTCTAGCCACCCAGAAAACACCAATCGATTTATGGATCTGGCGACGGGGACGGGTTTATGAAGGCGGAATCTCATGACGACGGCAGTGAGGGAAGTGATTGAAATCTAGCCGCTGTTGTAGCGATTACGACACTCTACTTCGTGGGTTAGTGGAGAAGAAATGGACGGATGCAGAGCTTGAGGATTGGGTTTCAGGGAGGATTTTTCAGACTGGATATAGACGGCGGCGGAAATAAGGAAGAGAGGAGACGAAGAAGCAGCGGACGGGAGGAGAAGGGGACGAGAGAGTTGTAATTTTTTTGTTTTTTATTTTTGTATTTAAAATTTTTATTATATGGAAAAAAAATATTAAAATTAACATTAAATTTCCACATCAGATGCCACATCAGCGCTGACTAGACTTTCTGTTAAAAACTAACGGTCAACGCTAGTCAACTCTAACGGAAAAATAGTTTAGGACACAAATGTCGTATCGAATACTTTAGGACACAAATGACACAAAGTTAATAGTTCGGGTTTCCTAGTGGTATTAGCCCTTAAAACTACTCTAACAAACAGAGAAAATACTAATTAACCTAACGAATTATAACTTAGGAACTCACTCAGATATGAGTCCCCCTATATTTTTCATACATGTATTAGAACGAAAATAATATATATAAGTGATTGAAGACATTTACTCAGATCCCTCCATCCACTCACTATGATTCAATATCCTACCATCTTCAGGTGGGCCTGTCCTTTGGAGATGGACTAAGGTGGCACATGGACAGCTAATTAACCTAACTGATGGAGTCTCTGACATCTTTAAAATTTGTAACGAAATGACTAGATGTGTCATATAACACCCAAAATTCTAGATATTTTGTATATTTCAAAAAAAAAAAATTGGCTATCAATGTCACAAATGTAAAAGTTGTGGCGATAAAAATATATGTTTTCATGGTGACTACTTCGGTGCACTCACAAAAATGAGTGCGTTCAATGCTGCCCATAGAGTGGCGCGTAAAGCACTGCTTTTGTCTCGTTTAGAGGTAGAATCTTTTGATTTTTTGGGGTGGCTTCTTTAGAGTCTTTTAGGGGTCCTGGGTAGAATTGTAAGTTTAACTATTTTCCTCTATTGATATCACTCAGAAATAAATAAAAAAAATGCACCCACCTCAAAAACTAGTCTTAAGGTGTCGGGTTTTGTATTTTAATTTGTAGAATTAGTGTAATATGTTGATATAACATATGATAACAACTAATTAGCCGATTACCCTAAGCCCTAGGCCTCCAATTTTGAGTTCTATCCCTAAACCCCAAATTGTAAACCCTAACCCTAAAACTCTAAACTCTAAATCTTTCCAATTAAAGTAAATCTTTAATGGTTTTTTGTGCAAATTCATGTGTGTTATTGTTCATCACATCATAAGTGATGATTGACATCATTTTGACATGAATCGTATGTTTAAAATGACGGTTATGAAGCGAGTACACTGAATGCACCCAAAAAAGTGAGTGCACCAAAAACACTACCATATTTTCATATGTTTTTATGCAGCAAATAAGATACCTTCAACATATATGTGTCCTCCCTTAATTTGTCTCCACACTCCACATCCATAAATGTAGGGATGGCAATTTGAACCCGCTCCGTCGGGTATTACCCGACCTGACCCGCGATGGGGCGGGTATTACCCGACCCGCAGTAGTGTGGGGGCGGGGCATGGGTATCAACTTTCGACCCGCCCCATTCTTGACCCGTTCTAGGTCAATTTCTTGCCCCATCCATTCATATATCTCCTATTTTGGCTTTTATTCAACTAGTTAGACTTGATCTTTCAACTAAATAGACTCAGTTACCCATTATATTATCACTACTATTCATTCATAAAGTCTTTTCCCTTTCGTTTTATCATTAAAAATAAAATTTAGTGTGTATATTTTTCTCAAATAGCATGTAAGAGTGGGTCGACCCGCCCCGACCCATACTAACGCGAGGCGAGGCATGAGTATTGATGTACCCGACCCGCCCGACCCATTTCCATCACTACATAAATGTATTTCAAGTTTCAACCCAAAAGAAAGAAAAAAGAAAAGCGAAATTCTTTTCAGAACCTCTCATTGCTATTTTGGCAACTCCACTGTCTCCACCATCACCTAGCCCTATCAGTGCCATAACCCAAACAAATAAAATAAAAATAAAAAAACTAGATCTATCAGCCACGAGCTGTATAGTGTATACCTTACAGACACAGATAAAAACAGAAACAAAAAAAAAAAAAGAAACATCCCAAACCAACGTCGGAAATGAAAATCAAAACAAAACGCTCGAAGAATAAATTAGGGTTACGGGGGACGTTGCTTCTCTGTGCTCTCTTCTTCCTTGGTGGCTTCTATTGTTCCAGAATCTTCTTCTCTCAGGTTCGATTTATGCATGTCGATCACTTTGATTTCGTTATATGTTCGCAATGAACGTCGAATAATTTGGCAGTCACAACAATAATGTTATTTTCCTGACAGACAACATCTGACCTGCGACCGAGGTTAAGGAGGGACATTGAGGCGGCAGAGGGAGGAGATCACACCACCAGTCGTAATAATGCTCAGCCGCATGGTGCCACCGGCGAATCTTCCGTCGAATCGATTCCTTTCCAGGTTCTCCTCATCATATATAGCGTAATCAAACTTTGATTTGAGACAATAGATCTGGTTATAAGTTAGTTAGTTAGTTAGTTAGTTAGTTAGTTATACGTTAGAGCTAAGAGATATATGATGGTGTTTAAACCTAATGTGTGTAGGGAAGTTGTTATGAACCGTACACGAATCTCTCTTAAGAACTCGAGTTATTGAGATTAATGGTTCTTGACATTATATCAGAATTGGCGAGTTTGCTTTCGTTTGAGGGTTTATATTGTGTAATATTGGTATATATATATATGATCCATAATTAATCTTCCCCCAACAAATCGAATTATTGAGGGACTAATTGGTTCTTGATATATGGTATATTAAAGCTGATTTGTCATTGAGCTCATGTGTTCAAATCTTCACGACCCCTCCTATTAACCACTGATTTAAGCACATGGCATGACGGGGGAGTGTTTCAATCAACTGTTTGATATTGAAAGTCGTTGAAAATTTCAACACACGGCCACTTGGTCAAACCAGCTATGATACCATGTCATGATGAACCAACTGGTCTCAATAACTCTGATCGTTGAGAAGGGTCCATGTATGATATTCACAAACACTTCCTTACAATACGCAAACCCGGACGGTCTTCTTTAACCTGAAGGTTCCACAATTTCAAAAAAGTTTACTCAGCTAAACGTTATACATGTCGAAGGGGTTCTTCGTATAAACAGAAGGATGGTTAGTCGTGAACCGCTCACAGATCAGAGCCGACCGATGATTAAATCGGCGAAACATAGTGACCAACATTTTACTTTGAACTAGTGCAGAAGCTTTTGACATTGATGTGTAATATATATGCAGATCTTGAGCTGGAAGCCGAGGGCCCTGTATTTCCCCAAGTTCGCAACACCAGAGCAATGCAATGCCATCATTGCAATGACGAAGACGCAGCTCAAGCCATCTCTGCTTGCCTTGAGGGAGGGCGAGAGCGCTGAGAGTACTCAGGGGACTAGGACAAGGTTTCTTTATATTCTCAGTTTCTTTATTCACTTCTTTTTACTTTCTTTTAACTTTGTTTTTTTTTGACGAGCCAATGGGTTTGGTACAACAGTTCAGGCACATTCGTTAGTGCAGCAGAAGACGACAGTGGGACGCTCGAGTTGATTGAACAAAAAATATCAAGAGCTACCATGATTCCACGGTCGCATGGAGAAGTAAAAATTTGTATCTAGTTTGCTTACCTTGTTATTACTTTGAAGTAATTGAGAAATTTGTCAAGTTTGAACATTTTTGTACCACGATGATGTTGTAGGCCTTCAACGTGTTGCGGTATGAAATCGGGCAGAAGTATGATTCCCACTACGATGCATTCAACCCAGCAGAGTATGGCCCACAACAAAGCCAAAGGGTAATTACGGGTGTATCCTCTCGTAACTATTTAATTTACGGTGTGAATAGGATTTGGCTAGCTAAGCTAGTTGATGATCACCATGAAAACCAATACTACTTAAATCGTTTTTAATGACTAAAAAATTATTTCTTACTTATAGATTAAACTATTCTTGTTACCAATACCACTAATTGTGAGCAAAGTTCGAGGAGACGCGATGCGCTAGGCAGGTTTTGAGGAACTTGAATTTTTAAATGATTGTAAGTTACTTAACAACATAACAGCAAGAAAAATAGCTCAGAAGTTTATGGAATCATATCTCAATAGCTTACAGTAATTTTTGAGATTTAATGAAAATATATTAAGAAAGAAGATTGGGTTTGCAAATGATGTTAATTTCCCCCTTTGATATAGACTGTCTAGCTGCACATAATTACATCTAGGTGTCTCCTTAATTTGTCATCGTACTTTCGATATCTAACTTTCCGCAGAACCTCTAAATAAGACGTCTTTGCGCTGTCTAGTGCCTAAACACAAATGTAAGCGCGCCTTTTTAAACCCTCGGATTTATATTTTTGTTTATTTGTTTAAGATTTTTGTTGAGATCATTATAATAAAGGGAAAATATGAGAAGACATCCATTATCAGATTAATAGATTTGGGGAGGAGAGAATATGGGAGAGAAATTATCTTCATCACTAAGAACTTTGAACTTGAGTAGCTATAATTTTATGTTTATGTGAGAAGTCAATATCATGTTATGTTGGAGTTTTTTTTTTTAGCTCAATTGTGTTCATTACAAAAAATGATAATCTAATGTTAAAAATCTGTGGAACTGCAGATAGCTTCATTTTTGTTGTATTTAACAAACGTGGAAGAGGGTGGCGAGACAATGTTCCCTTATGAGGTACCGAAATTTCGATTTATGACGACCCCCAAAATCTCCTCAGTATTTTACTATTCATTATTGCTTGTTCGTTGTTGACGATTTAGATCTTCTCTCTGTAGGATGGATTGAAAGTTCCTGGTTATGATTACAAACAATGTGTTGGTCTAAAAGTGAAGCCTCGACAAGGTGATGGCCTTCTATTCTACTCCGTCTTGCCTAATGGAACAATTGATAAGGTAATTTTCTTTGGTCACAACCTAAACCTTCAAATTTGATCTCTAACCTGATTCACGAACTCATAATAGACATAGAAGAATACGAAGTTGATGTGACCAAAATACACAACTTCAACAATCTTTTTATTATTTTCTTGATGTCGTCTTTCTTGAACTCGAAAATAAGTTATTGATATTAATCATATACATTTTCCTCCTTGCAGATGTCTCTTCATGGAAGCTGCCCGGTCATTAAGGGGGAGAAATGGGTGGCAACAAAATGGATAAGAGATCATATATTCTATGATGACTGAACAACTCTTTTTTGTATCCACTAAAGCACAAGTTTTAACTTATAAAAACATTTTAGAGATCTACCTATCAAAACTTGAATCAAATTATACATGTAACTTTAGGGGATAACAACATCAATATTCACTTGATCAATAGTATTTATATACACGTACACAACTAAAATGTTTCAGACCATCTTAAATAGATTACCCAGCGGGCGACTAACCTCCACTGGAATAACCTAACCAAGACAATAAGATTCAAACTTCTTCTACTAGGTTTTTACTCGAGTACAGAGCAGTGGATCGATTGACTCTCAAACAATCAACTCACTACTTCCAATTCAGGTTGCTCTATTATCCTATGTAGATACTATCGTTCTAAGTCAAAGCTGAAACCGTAGGAATGTGATTAGGATTCAAGCAATTCTGGAAAAAAACTCAACTGAATATAAAATGTCAATCAATCATGAATTTGAGTTCATACAACTCTTCATAGCATACAAATCTAGGATTCCTCAAAACCTAAGTGAAGAGAAGTTACTCCATAGAGAAGAGAGAATACAATATAACTTTCTGAATCTTCAATCTTCTTGTCTAAGCTTGTTCCTCGAGCTTTCAAGGTGAAGAAATCCTCCAATTCTGCTCCAAGATCGCCCTCAAATCACTCTCTCACTCTATGGTTCGTCCCTTGGGTGTTTGGTGTCCAAAACTCAGCTCTCCCCTTTAGAACTCGCAAAAATGCATTTATACCCGCACCTAGAAATTCCCCTCACATTCCCCTCTTTGGACATCAAATTCCCCTGTAGGGGAGTTTACCTTCCAACCCGGGGATTTCTGAAACGCTGCATAGCACTTAGTTGCTCGTGGGAAATTCCCCTGGGTCTACTTAGGAATCCCCGGTTGGGTAATTTGGTGTCTGGATAGGGGATTTGCTTCTGTAACTTTCCCCTACCTAGTCCTTAAATTCGCCTAGCGGGGAATTTAGCTTCCAACTCGCGTAATTCTCAGTTCTTGTTCCACTGTATTTGATTCTTCGTTTTCTCTCGTTCGGACTCCGAATAAGTCGTCATTTGATCTCAAACGCTCGTAGCCTCATCCTCTTTATTTTAATGACAAGCTTACATGATTCTTTGTTCATAAAATGAGGTAGAAATCCATTCTTCATTAGGTCATGTCCGAGTTTCTTTCCCCGAATCTCCAATTGGTCTCCAATTGACTTGAAACTTGCGCCTATACTTCACTTTACGTGCTAGGACCTGAAATGTGACAAAAGAACACAACCTAGCATAAAATAAGTCAAATTATAATAAACACCAAACTAAACAATCAAAAAATGAGGGGTCAAACCTGTCTGAATGTGGTGTTATCACCAATCTATACCATGGTGGTAAAGTTTGGTAGTACATAATATTTTGCTATGGTAGTATGAAAGTGAACCACGGTGGTATAGATATTTCATAGTCTATAATAATTGTATACTTGATAGTATGAATATTATAACACCATCATTTAACACCCTTAATCACCGTCTGCCACCAATTACCATCCTCTATCATATTTGATTCTCAATAGATTTGTATATCGCAATAGATCATGGTGAGTTGTGCGTTCCCGCACACTATAACCATTAACCCTGTTGCCGGCAAGGGAATATCCGGAAGAAAAAAAAAAAGACCGTTAAAGAGAGAAGGCACCAGCAAAAACCCTCCCCTGCTCCAACGGCTACTTCTCCATTCAAACCAAAGAATACTCACTCCCCAAACTTTCGTCGTCCCTCAGACAAAGAAATCAATCCTCTCATCGTCGCCTCCTTTTCTCTCCGAATCGAATCCCTTCTTTTTGTTTCTGCAATCAAGAGCTCAATCTACTTCGCCCCTTCGTCTCGGGATATCTCAAGATTACTGACAGAGTTCTGTTCGCCCTCGGAAGAATGGATCTGGGATGCTTGGACTTAGGTTGCCTCGATAAAGTGGCCAAGCACGGCGGTGGCGACGCTCGGAGCAGTCCTGGTTCAGATGGGGGAGGATCTGATTCTAGCGGGAATCTCACTTCTTCGGCTTCCAAGTTCGGCAAGGTACGCTCTTCTTCTTTCCCCTCATGTTATCGTTCTCTTGATTTGCTTCCATCGCTAGGGTTTCCATTTATCGTTCTCTTTCTTTATTCTAGTTAATTGCGCTTTCTCATCGAATTCGGATGTTAATTGGCGGAAGGTCCTTAGCCCTCCTCGTGGATTTCAGCGGTGCGTATGCCTGCTAGTGAACAATTATGCTCCGATGGACTCATGAATCGGGACTGTAGAACTCGCCGATTGCTCTCTGTCTACTGTGTTGTTTAATTTTTTCTTCTGTTCTCAAGTCCTGACGACTGAATTCGTCGGAACAGTGTGCAAGAAAAGGAGGTCTGATTGAATTCTAGGTTTTTCTGTAGCAAAGCAAAATGATCATATTCCCAAAGTTTCACTTGCGTTAGGAGAAATTTCCCTCTTTGGATGGATGATTGTTTAGGGTTTTGATTACCTGATGTCAATTATTTCCAAGCTGCTTTTCATCATCTCTTCTTCCTGGACTTGCAGAGAAATTCACCGAGGGGGAGTGGCCAGTCATCACCAAATGCTCTAAACAAAGTCACGTCACAGATTAAGAAGCCTAGTCGCCGTAAGACTAGCCCACTCAACTGGTTTCCTCGCAAGAAAGTGGACTCGTACTTGAAGAGGAAAATTCAAATGCTGCAGGTATGCATTTGTTCTTGTGGTTTCTGTCAACCCAGAAGCAAGAACTTGTGGTTGAAGTAGATGTTAAAAATGCATGGTATCCAATGTTTCAGGAAGTTGATGGGATGAAACAGACTCTGGATGAGACCCTTGGGGATTCAAATCCACACTATTGCAGAGTGCTCCGAGAAAAAATGGCAGCAAGAGAGGCTGCAAGCAAGGTCATGGAGGCTCAAAAGGCTGCATTGGTCGAGGCATCTTGGTACCGAACACTTAAAGCAGCTAGGTAAGACTCTCTTTGGTAAAGCAGCTAGGTAAGACTCTCTTTGGTTGCATTAACAAAATTATGCAACCTCTATATCTGTTATTCACTCTCATGCTGTTCATTTACCCTTAAAAGGATTCACAACAAGGAAGCCGAAGACCTACTCGCAAAAGCAGAAAATGCTGCTGCCGAAGCTTTTGAAGCAGCAACAGCTGTGGGAGTGATCATGGATGATATGCCAAGTTGCCCTCAAAATGCTTTGTTATTTGCACCCTCTAAAACAACAAACAAGGCAGGATCTACTACTACTGGTCATACTGTCAAAGCATCTTTTGAGACGGCATTTGATGTAGATAAAGAAGTAGCTGCAGCCGTTAAAGTTGCATTTATCAGGCTTGCCGCCACTTGTCCGCCTTCCGACCAAGATGAATTCAGAGATTTGTTGCAGAAGATTAGTCAGAATCCAGAGAGTAGTGTTTATGAAGGAGAACAAGAAGACTTGAAAGAACTCTCTGCAGAGTCCGGATCAGATTCTGGTTCTGAACCCATGTCTACCTCTCCAAAGTCCAGTCAAAAGAAAAAGAAGCGACAGTCGGTGGAGCTTGTCAATATGATGCTTGACAGGCTTAAATCCTTGAAAGAAGATGAGCTGTCTTCGCTTGCAACGATAGTTGCAACTTGTGGCTTAAGTGCTGCATTGGCAGAAGTCGAGAGCATTAAGCTGCAGCGTGATCATCCCATCTCAACTGAAGCTCTCAGTGTTCCTCGAAGGTCATCTTCTGTAGATGCAGGAAAGAAGCAAGGCGAGTCAGAACTCCCCAGCCTAGACAAGTTTCTTGTAAAGCACATGTCAAAACTTGAGAAGGAAGTTGAACAAGCCAAGAATAACAGGAAGAAAGAGGCGGAAGGAGCAAGAGACGCGTCGACTAATGATGACAAGAATGGAAAGGTGCAGTTAGATAAGAAAGCAAGTGCATGCGACATTGTTCCTGACCTAGGAAGTATTCTTGTCAAGCACTCATCCAGGATTGAGAGAGAGATTCAAGAAGCGAAGAGGAATTCAGCTAAGGATTACGATTACAAAACAGCCCGCAAGAAACCGGTGCATGAATGGGATTCTTCATGTGAGGTTGAACAAGCCAAGAATAACAGGAAGAAAGAGGCGGAAGGAGCAAGAGACGCGTCGACTAATGATGACAAGAATGGAAAGGTGCAGTTAGATAAGAAAGCAAGTGCATGCGACATTGTTCCTGACCTAGGAAGTATTCTTGTCAAGCACTCATCCAGGATTGAGAGAGAGATTCAAGAAGCGAAGAGGAATTCAGCTAAGGATTACGATTACAAAACAGCCCGCAAGAAACCGGTGCATGAATGGGATTCTTCATGTGAGGTGATCCCTGACCTAGCAAGCATAATGGCTAAGCGTCCTACAAAACCAGAGATTGAAAATCAAGAAGCAAAACAGGACTCTGAAAAGTTATCAAAGTGGGTTGTTAACAGGCCAAAAGCAGCAAGTAGTGTCCCAGGCGTGCCTAGCTTGGATGAGGTTCTTGTTAAGCATGTATCCAGGCTTGAAAAAGAGGTCCAAGAAGCAAAAAACAGGAGTCGAATAAATGAAATGGCAGAGCAAGAGAACGTTGACTTCAACAAAGTAGCAACAATCTCGTCAGATTCAGAATTTGAAGGCAAGACGATGAGGACTTCTCCCAACTTGCAAGAAGACAGCTTAGAGAAGATATTGATCAAGCCTGTGAGCAGATTGGAACGGGAGAACACAATGCAGGCTAAGAACAGGAGAAGTGAATACAACAGAATCCAAAGTAAGCAGCAGCAAGCACAAGCTGGCAGAATTGGGGCAGCAGAAGAAGGGTTGGAGAAAGTCTTGGTAAAGCATGTGTCTAAGCTAGAAAGAGAGAAAATGGAATCACGTTTGAAGGAAGATGATGTCAAGGTGGTGCAGAGAAGAGGCAAAAATTTGCAGCAAGCACAAGATGACAGAATTGGGGCAGCAGAAGAAGGTTTGGAGAAAGTCTTGGTAAAGCATGTGTCTAAGCTAGAGAGAGAGAAAATGGAATCACGTTTGAAGGAAGATGATGTCAAGGTGGTGCAGAGAAGAGGCAGAAATTTGCATTTGCAGCAGAGAAGTGAAGAAGGAAGTCTGGACCAAATTCTGGTTAAACATAAATCTAGACTGGAGAAGGAGAAGATGAGCGCTTTCGAAAAGGAAACAGGAGAACATGCAAGAGTCGCGGTCTCGTCTTCCATGTCTCGTAGAGAAGTGAGGGAGAAGGAGTTGGAAGAATCATGGGGTGGATTAAGTTTTGGCAACTCCCTCAGGCCACATTTCTCCAAGCTTCAACGGGACAAGGTGAGTGAGTTTTCTCTGTAATACTGTATTTGTTGAAGGGCCTTCTTGTTTATTGAGTTTTTTATGCGATTGTTGGTTTCTTTGGTGCAGGCTGCTTGGATAAAAGCTGATGAAGAAGAAAGAAGGCAAGTGGTGTAGACGTGTAGTGTAAGAAGCTGTGTAAATTTCTTCAAAAGCTGAGCTTGATCCTGAGCCAGAGTTGTTGTTGTGGGATATGAAGTGTAAAAGTGTCAATAGCTGCTTTGATATTCTTTTCTTTTTTCTTGTAGCGGGGAAGAGTGCTTTCTTCCCTGCACTAACTTTTGGGCCTATGTATGAAGCTTTCTTCCCTGCATGAAGCTTGAAATGGAACTGAATATGAGTAATTTGTTCTTCACTTTGCCTTACCATCACTCTCTACCCTCAGGGGGTGGCTTTCTGTTTCTGAGTGGGATTGCTTCTTTCCTGCATCTAATGTAATGTTGGAAACGGAAGCAAATACTTGGGTTTGTGAATTCTAAAAACTCAAGTATAGTTCTTTTACTTCTTAACTATTTATAGAGACAAATATTTTTGTTTGTGATAAGTTACTATTGGCTATTAGCCATCAGCTTTGTGCTATGTAAGGTGGTGCTCTCGACGATCAAGTTAGAGATAGAATGAGAGAAGTATATTTGGTAAGAGAATAAGTACTTGAAAGTGGGTATTTATAGTCGATTGGGTGGTGGTTCGACGTACAATCTGATGAATTATGTATTTGATGACATTTAATGTTGTATCAGTAGGCCCTGAGGCATCTGCCTCAGACGATCTTCATGCCTCGATAATGGTGATCATATTGTCGGTCTTGGATTTCCAATTAGGCTTTGTCCTTTCGATTGTTTAGTGGGCTTCGCTTGATAGGCTTTTAGGTCAAATGGGCTAACCCTATAACCCAACAACATTTGAGATAGAAGATGAAAAGCATGTTTTCCTTGCTTGTCCTTCATATATAGATAAGTGTTTGTGATTTGTTATGTTGGGTTGCTACCTTTCTTGTGTGAAAACTCAAGTTCCCTTTTTCGGAAAGAAGTATCAAGTGAAATCTGCTCATGGTGTTATGGCGGAAACCTATTGTTTGGTTCATCTTCCAAGCTTGATCAAGCTAGTGTGTTCGAATGGTCTTTGCTCAATTGATCAAAATTTTCAATTTTAGCAGTATATTGATGGCCGGTTGGTGGCCACCCTCATGTTGGGATTGATGAGACTTTGTGCAATATACTTTTGAATCGTATGTATTGCATATCGATAGAGAGGTATATATACGTAGAGAGAGCCATCTAGGTAGCCGATTAGGGAGAGATAACTATGAGTAATTACATGCCATGATTTGAGCCCATTCGAAGGATTTCAGTTATGATTTATCTGTATTACGCCCCCTTCAAGATGGAGGTAGTGTCAGCAGCTCAAATCTTGAACCGAAGAAGAAGAAATCAGGATTGTGCATTGGCTTTGTGAGGGTATAAGCTAGGGGTGAACAAACACACCCGCAAACCGACCCACCCGTCCAACCCGACCCAACCCACCCGTATTTATCGTTAAAACGAAGGTTTTGGGTTGGGTGACGATTTTCTTTTGTGCAACCCGCCTCTTTTGGGTTGGGTTTGGATTTTGGATTACACAACCCGTAGAACCCGACCCAACCCGTGTTCCAACTATTAGTATGAGTTCGTATCTAAAAAATATTTATGTCGTATATAGCCATACTTATGTGAAAATTAAGATATTTCGCCATGTTTTTCTATCATGGTCTCCCTAATCTAATGCATTCTTCGACTTAAAGTTTAGACATAAATTGAATATAATTATGATTCACGTAATCATTTTTGTTGTATACAATTTTAATAGAATAACATATTATGGATGCATTTGTTTATAACCTTTTTAGCCTATTTCAACAAATATCGTGAAAAACACTAGGCATATGTTGAAGTAAATCTCATTTTATTAAAACTCAAACAACATTTGTGAATTTTGATACATTTCACATCGGTTTATTTGTTTGAAATTTTAATTAGTTATAAAATATTTTTATGGTGTATAATAATTATATATTTTATGTTGGGTTGGGTTTTTACTTAAAAATATCGCCAACCCGACCCAACCCAATTAGAAACAAACCGTAGGGTTTAAATTTTTTTGGGTGGGTTTGGGTTTGACAATTCCCAAACCGTAGTGTATGGGTCGGGTGATTAAAATACTTAAACCCGAACCAACCGACCCATGTACACCCCTAGTATAAGCTAACTGATGAATAGTAGAGATACGTTGAACTCGGAGTCGACCGGCTTGAGCGATTTGGCGTACAAAGTGGTAGTCAAGAGCTAAGTGTTCGTACGAGAGTGAAACACGAGATAGGCACTGAAGTATGTGGCTCCCAAATTATCTTAGTAAAGCACAATTGTTGTGGCGGTGGGTTGATGTAGTAGTTCACTAAATAAGTTTCGCACCCATTCTAGTTTTGCAGTGGCTTGGGCAATGGTGCAATACTATGCATATGTGCTAAAGCGGGCAACCGTGTGTTGTTTTTTTGGAATGCCAAGAGATAAGACCGACAACGAATAGATAGGCCAAAGTGCATGGTCTCACGAAGAACAGGGGGTGAGATTGAGTGGTGTGCTAGCCGCTTGGACTTTGGTAATTGGGGCAAGAACAAGGAAAATTGAGAAAGAAATACACCTTGTTTGACAAGGGGGTCCTAAGGATGGCAATGGGTCAAGTTGGGGCGGGGTTTGTCAAACCCAGACCCAAACCCATGGGTTTATCCATCAAAAAAATTCGGGGTAAAACTCGTTGGGTTTGAAAAACTCAAACCCAACCCAACCCGCTGGGTATCCGCGGGTTCATGGGTACCCGTGGATTTTTATGGTAAAAAATTTACAATAACAAGTTTCTTTCAAAATAAAAGTTTAACATCAATTTTCTCCATACAAATTAATCATACAAAAAACACCAATCTAGAGCATACAAGCAAACCGCAAATGACCAATACAAATTGTTCAAAATTAAAGATAAACATCTATAAACAATAAGATTAATTGAAAGCTTCTTCCTCGTCAACTAAGTTTCTTCACTCTCCACTTCATAATATCAACTTCATTCTAAACAATTAGAAAGAACAAATTGTACATGTCTCCACAAACATAAAGAATATAAGTTATTTAAGGAAGATATATTATTTAGAATATTAAATATACCGGGAAAATAATTATATGTGTGTGGGCGGGTACCCATGGGGTGGGTTTATCTAAACCCAAACCCGACCTGGTGAATAGTGTAGCGGGTTTAAACCCGAACCCGACCAAAAACCCGTCAACACGGGTTTTACCCGCGTAGATCGTATTGGGTCGGGTGGGTACCCGTGGGTTCGGGTTTTGTTGTCATCCCTGAAAGGGGTGTTGGAGATTTGTGATAATAGGAAAAAGTTGGTTTTCTAATTGGGTATTCAGTTATTATTATCAATAACTTTTTCATCCGTCATATTATATCGGGCTCATTTGGGTTAAACTGGTTAAACCAATCAACCCATTAACTCTCGATTCTCTAACTTGACCGGGTGAATGAGCTAACCGTGTTAGCCAAAAGATTTATAAAAAAAAAAAGGTTTCTGATTGCGAAATTAGTACAAAACTAAAAATCCAAAGCTCCGTAAATATCTCCCCACAGAATCAGTATAGCGCCAGTTTGGCTTCCAGGTCTCTCACTCTCCCTTCCCTCCTCTTCCAATGGCGGACAAACTAGCCCTTCCCCTCCTATTCCCAACTCCGCCGCCCTCAAAATCTCTTTTCCCAACACAGAATCTCCATAATCACAAGCACCACCATTCACACCAGCAGCAGTCGCAGCCGCCGGTGATGCTACAGACTTCTTCACTATCATCAACCCCTGCAACTCCTCATCTCCAAGAATTCATTTCTACCCAAAACTCCAATTCTCGAGAAACCCGGAGAACAGTAACAAGCCCTGCTTTCATTACCAGGAGCAAAACTCGAATTGGCAAGAATCGTGACCCCAACCGTGGGAAGCCCTGGTCACACTTCCGCCTTTCCCCGCAAGGTCAGAAAGTTCTCGACTCCCTTAACGACCCATCTTATCAAGTCTCGGATTTGGATGGAGTCTTGGACAGTTTGTTTGAGTATTACAGAGCTGGGTCGAGTTTGAGTGGCGGTGTTGATGGTAAAGTTGATGTTGACGGTTTATCTATTGATGTTCTGGGGGTTATGAAGGGTTTAGGGTTCCAAAAGAAATTCGACCTGGCGATGAGTGTGTTTGAATGGGTGAGGAGCAGGCAGGGTTACCAGTTAGTTGTCAGTAATTCTATGGTGGCTTCAGTTTTTAGAATGCTTGGTAAAAGTGGGAAAGTTTCGGCGGCAGCTTCTCTGCTGAACAGCTTGCATAAAGACGGGTTCGAACTTGACGTGTATGCTTATACATCTTTGATTACTGTTTATTCTAGTAATGGCAGGTATAGAGATGCTGTGATGTTATTTAATAAGATGGAGGAAGAAGGTTGCAGGCCCACGTTAATAACTTATAATGTTATTCTTAACGCGTATGGGAAAATGGGCATGCCTTGGAGTAAGACTATAGGTCTGGTAGAAGCAATGAAGAGTGCGGGGATTCCTCCTGACGAATACACATATAACACTCTCATAACTTGCTGCCGTCGAGGGACTTTGTATGAAGAAGCTGCTGAGGTTTTTGAGGAAATGAAAGCTGCTGGGTTTTCCCCTGATAAGGTCACTTATAATGCCTTGTTGGATGTTTATGGGAAGTCTAGGCGGCCAAAGGAGGCTATGAAGGTATTGAGTGACATGGAGATTAATGGGTTTTCTCCTAGCATTGTGACCTACAATTCATTGATATCAGCTTATGCAAAAGATGGGTTATTGGATGACGCTATGGAGCTTAAATCACAAATGATAGAGAATGAGATCATACCGGATGTTTTTACGTACACTACTCTCCTGTCAGGATTTGAGAAGGCTGGGAAAGATGAGTATGCAATGAGTATATTCAAGGAAATGAGAGATAATGGCTGCAAGCCCAATATCTGTACTTTCAACGCACTGATTAAAATGCACGGTAACAGGGGTAATTTTACTGAGATGATGAAGGTTTTTGAGGAGATTAAAGCATGCAACTGTGCTCCCGATATTGTTACTTGGAACACGCTTCTTGCAGTGTTTGGGAACAATGGATTGGACTCTGAAGTTTCCGGAGTGTTTAGGGAGATGAAAAGAGCAGGGTTTGTGCCTGAGAGGGACACCTTCAACACGCTAATTAGCGCGTACAGCAGATGTGGTTCTTTTGAACAAGCCATGACCATTTACAAGAGAATGCTTGAAGCAGGAGTTACTCCTGGCCTTTCATCCTACAATGCTGTCCTGGCTGCACTTGCCAGGGGTGGGCTTTGGCAACAGTCTGAGAAAATTCTTTCTGAAATGAAAGACAGTGGCTGCAGGCCCAATGAATTTACATACAGTTCGTTGCTTCATGCTTATGCCAATGGGAAAGAGATCGAGCGAATGCATGCTCTTGCTGCAGACATATATTCAGGAGCTATTGAGCCTCATACTCTTCTCTTGAAGACCCTTGTTTTGGTCAATAGTAAGAGTGACCTTCTAGTGGAAACTGAGCATGCTTTCTTGGAGTTGAAGAAGAAAGGATTTTCACCTGATATCAGTACACTGAATGCCATGATTTCTATATATGGGAGGAGACAAATGGTCGCTAAAGCTGATGAGATCTTAACCTTCATCCATGACCGTGGGTTCACCCCAAGTTTGGCAACATACAATACTTTGATGTACATGCACAGCCGCTCTGGAAATTTTGAGAAGTCGGAAGAAATATTAAGAGCAATTCTTCAGAAAGGACTGAAACCAGATCTAATCTCATACAACACGGTTATATTTGCCTATTGTCGAAATGGTCGGATGAAGGAAGCATCAAGAATCTTTTCAGAAATGAAAGATTCTGCTGGGCTTACTCCGGATGTGATCACATATAACACGTTCATTTCAAGGTATGCAGCTGACTCGATGTTTGAGGAAGCCATCAATGCTCTGCAATACATGATCAAGCAGGGTTGTCAGCCGAATGACAGTACCTACAACTCTATTGTTGATGGCTATTGTAAGCACAGTCGCCAGGGTGATGCAACCATGTTCATTAGCACTCTTCAAAAGCTTGATCCACGTGTTACTAGGGAAGAAGAGGGCAGGTTGTCACAACGAATAGCAAAGAGGTGGCCCTAAGAAGTAATTGTCTTCTTGGGCTTAGTATTGGTGCTCTGCAGGCTCCCTTTTTCTTTATCATGATCTTAAGAATATGATGTAGCCTTTCACCAATTGTTGATCAATGCCAAGTCATCCGTTGGCCGATTTGGCAATAGGGGATAGCCTGTTACACATGTCATGTCAAATACTTGCGAGGATGAAGACGCATCTGAACTTATACGATAAAGGAAGGCTCTGGCTTCAACAGATAACTCAAGAATTGTGATTCCAGGTACCTAAATTGTGATTCTCCTAGTACATATTTTGTATTAATACGGTCGATAGTTGTCTCTTGTTGCTTGCCCTTATCTTTAGTAGGATTTGGCTGTTCTTGTTTGCTTGCTGAATTACTAGGACAGAAATGGCATGTACATAACATTGAGATCGATGATCAGAAAGTACTTGCAACTGCTTTTATTGTCTACATCGTGCCTGTATAAGACAGACGTGTCGTTGGAAGCTGGGTTGAGTTAGGTTTAATGTAACCTGCATTCAACTTTAAACCTTTCTGCTATATAGTGAATTTAGGACTTCAATGTGATCCGAGTTTGGTTATTATACCTGCAGATTTTGGAGAGTAATTCACTTGCGGCTTGCACCATGGATTTCAGGTTTAAGAAGAAGAAACAGACGGTTCCGAAAGCATTGATTTCACTTGCAGCTTTTTAGGAGAGTAATTCTCAAGCAGCAGCGTGGAAAGAAGGCAAGTAACTATGACATTTTGAGAGAGTGTTGAGGCTATGCACCATGGATTGTAATATCTCAATTAGCGTTGTATATGTATCTCATTTAACTATGGATTGTACATAAAGAAACATACTGTTTTTATTTTCGAGTGATATTAAGAGATGACGAGAGTTATCCAAACAAAATTAGTCAGGAATTTTCTACAAGCGACACCCTAGTGAAGCCATCTAAAAAAGTCGAAATATTATAACTCTAAGAGAGACAATAGCAGTGTTTTACGCGCCACTCTATGGGCAGTACTGTTGTCGGCTCTAGGAACAGCCTTAAACTCTATACAAACTGGAAAAGAGTCTAGGATCTGACGACACTCTTGGAGCACTGTACCTCCAAATGAATCTTCTATGACAAATTGTCGGATCTGGATGACAGCCACCTCGAAATACCTTCCACTATCACAGCAGTCAAGGATCTTGAGTCGACCATGGTGATAGCGCCTTTTACTGCTAAGAGCTCTGCTAGGTAGGGGTGGAGCACTCCCTGGTGACGCATATTGGCTAGGGGTGGCTATACGATCTGGTTCGGTTAAATTGGCCAAATTGATCCGGTCCAGTCCGTTCTTTTCGAAAATATAAGGACCAAAGATTGGATTGGATACAGTCCGGTCTTGATCCGATCCAGTCTTGACCCGGTCAGGTCCCAATCCGGTCTTGATTTTATATTGATCAAATCCCTACAAGCTCAATCTAAAATCAAGACCGAATTGGGACAAGACCGGACTGTATCCAATCCAAACTAATCTTTGGTCCTTACATTCTCGAAAATATCGAACTGGAACCGAATCAATTCGGGCCAATTTAACGGGACCATATAGCCACTCCAACCGACTACGGATGATTTGTGTACCGTTTAAAATATTGTAGCTAATTTGTTAATGAGCAAAACATGAGTGACCATTTTGGTCAATTAACCCATTCTAGAGGCTTCTTCCATCCCGGTTCCAATAACTGTATATAACTTCGCCAATTCCGGTACCTACTTCCTCCTTCATCCCGACTGAATAACCCTAGAAGAGAAGAGAAAGAGGGAAAAGGCGGAATTCGAGCTTCTTGGGATCCGCCGAAATCGAGCTCAGCCATGGGAGGAGGAAACGGCCAGAAAGCCAAGATGGCCCGCGAGAAGAATCTGGAGAAGCAAAAGGGTGCAAAGGGTATAAATTGATCTTCCTGTTCCTTTTTTTCCTTTCCATCACCGCCCCTCCTTCCTTAGCAGCGAATTTCGGTGATCTAAAGGCGGAGTTTCTTTTATTGTTTTCAGGTAGCCAACTCGAAACTAACAAGAAAGCCATGAGTATTCAGGTAATCTCTCCTTGCATGCTGTTCTTATTCCTTCTTCTGATATTTGATTTGGTCATTATAGTTCAATTCTCCCTTTTCCCCCGACGATTGCCGGTTTCTTGAGTGGCGATCTTCTACTGTCTTGATACTCTTTGTTCGAGACTTGTGAATTTTGTTCTGGGCTGCTGTTAGGGTTACTGATTTCTCTGTTTTTGACATGCTTGAATTTAGTGTACCAGCTAGTGGCCATAGCAGTGTCTTAGTCTTTTGTGTTTGTGATCAGTTTATAGCATCTATTATCTAGGGTCTGATCATGGTGTATGTTGAAATCATGTTCAAAATTATGGCTAACGAGGATCAACACAGTGTGCAAATTCTGGGGAATTCTGGCCTGTACATCAAGGGTCAAGCTGGAGCTTGATTTGTGCAGCAAGAAATGTTCCTGGTTTCACGCATTAAGTAGTTTGGTGTTAGGATCATAGCTCTGCGATTTTCGGTAATGCGCTAAAAAGTTCGCATAGCTATACTTCGTCTGTTGATTATCCTGCTAATTCTCCCTTGAGATGAGCTACTGTACCATGGGTGGTGGTAGTGGTGGTTGTTTCAGGACTTGTGCTGTGCTGTTATAGCTTGCCTGTGTGATGAAGAGATATTTTTTACTCTGTTACTCCGCAAAGGTAGTAATTTGGTGTTCTTTGTTGTTTGTGCTGCTCCCTCGATGGCTCGCTGGTGGATCCCTGGATGACTGCTTCCGGCGACGGTGAATGCAGTGCAAGGTGTGTATGCAGACATTCATATGCACCACTACAGAGGTGAAGTGTCGAGAGCACGCTGAAGCGAAGCACCCGAAAGCTGATGTGTATGCTTGTTTCCCCCATCTTAAGAAGTGACACAACTGGAAGTTGGAACATAGCATGGCAAGGTACTGAGGTTTGGTTGTAGAGTCTAGGAATGCTCGTGTACCGTGTTGTTGCATTATATAATCATCCTTACTTGTGTGTCCTGGAGGATGCTTTCACTGGAGAACTATGGTTTGTCCAAATTTCATCATGATTGGTGATGTTTCTGGAAGATGTTTCATTATAATCTCAGATTGTAAAAACTGGGCGTTGTTAATGAGTCTTCCAACTTGTTGGATAGTATTTGGACTGGACGCGCCAATGAATTTTAACATGTTACACTTTTAGGAGAGGTGATCCTCTCCTTAGCAAAGCAACCCGTTTGTATCGGTAGTTACTAGTTACTACTGCTTTTAATTTTCAAGAATTGTAATATTTTATCTATTTACAATCTATCTATAGCCAAAAAAAAAAAAAAAAAGGTTTTCAGAACTAAGGATTAAAAGGTTGGTTAAAAAAAATCTCATATCGGAAGCGAAATTTGGGAAACTGGTGGGTTGTATTTGGGCTAGTTTATCCATGTTGTACCAATACCTTTTGTGGAGGCAGCTAGTGACGTAGTGTAGTCAAGATTTAATTTTAGTGGGATCCAATTTACGAAGTTTTTTATTATAACATTGTAATCAATTATCAAATCAAAGTAAATTTTCTAAAAAAATATTTAGTCAAAAAATATTTAGTCAAATAGTCATTCATCAAACCATTAGTTATTAGATTTGTGTAACTCATAATTGAAAAGTGACATTTCAATAACTAGCTGAAATAAATAGTGTCCAAGCAAATCTATATTTTATAAAAACATTAATTGACAAAAAAAAAAATATATTGATAGCAAAAAATTTGTTGAACTAGGAGCTTTTTTATATATAGCTGGAGGTTTTGTACACATATTTAGTAGAATTAGAAATTTTTAGAATGAGGACTATCAAATTGGGGGTTTTCAATGATATATGACCAATATAGTTTCATTTATTTGGCCCTGCTTTAACTTTTGAAGCCGAAAAGCACTTTTAAAAGTCGGTCCAAACATAAGCTTTATCAGTATGAAATTATTGAACTACGGTTTTAGTATAAAATAACTTACGAGTAACTTTCCGGTATGGTATTTCAATTCTTGGTTAGAACACATCACAATAGTTTTTCCTCATCTGGGGAATTCATATTGACAAGCAAGTCCATTCTCACCTGGTTTGGAAGACTATTTGGCGAGCTCCAGTTACACGAAGAATGCAACCCTTCTTGTGGCTAGCTAATAACCAGTATATCCTTACCAACGCTGAGCGAAAGCGATGTCATCCAACACAAAGCAACGTCTGTCCGACATGTGGAGGAGGACCAGAGATGGTAGTCTATGTGCTAAGAGTCTGTAGTTATGCTCGAGCGGTTTGGTCAGACTTCCTCGAAGGCGAACTGGATGCTGACTTCTTTCAAGAGGATCTGACCACATGGATTTTTCACTATATGGCGAGGCGCAACTCCATCATAGATATCCCACTCTTTGCAGGTACTTGCTGGCTCCTGTGGAAGAATCAGAACAATCATCATCGAGTCTAAACAACTAAAGACACAAACTATTGAGGCTTTTGAGAAGAGTAGAATCATCTTTGGCGGGGAGAGAGCGTCGCAGAGCAGCATGATTCATTGGCTTCACCATCGCCTGGATGGACTCGCTTGAACATTGATGGGTCAGTCAAACATGTCTCACCGAGCACGAAAGCAGGAGGAATTGTCCGAGAAGATGATAGTCGTTTCCTTAAAGCGTACTCAGTGAACCTTGGGGGGAGGTTCCATCACTCATGCAAAAATTGACATGATTTGTGCATGGTCTCAAGATTTTCTGAGAACCGGGAGTTAGGAGGGTTATTCTACAGACTGATTCGCAGACAACCCTCAGCCTCATCTAGTTCGCGCCGCCCACAAATCCGCATGAAATACTTAACTGCGGAGACTCTCCGTCTTTTGACACTACGGCGGCAGGTCCATCTCGACCATACTTTAAGGAAGGAAACTTTGCAGCAGACTTTCTTGCTTCTTTGGGTCATTTTGTCGTTGTTGGGGAACATGTGTTTACGGTCCTTCTCCATTGTTGATTCATTGGCTGTACGATGAATTTTACAGATTGGAGCGCCCTTTAGCTCTCCGCTTCCGACCAAAAAAAAATCACCCACTGATTTGATCAGAATTAGTTTTTCAATAATAGTTTTTTTTCACGTAGAATTCTCTATAACGGAGCAGAGAGAGATAATTCAAAATCTAATTTATTTCTAAAATATCATTTTTTAAAAAAAATAACAAATAAATCTCTTGTTGCTTCCACTGCGTGATTTAATTTAAAAGTAACAAACACTGATGAGAGTGGTTACTGTGGTGAGGTAGGACTCTAATAATCTCCGTATATATCTCCTTTTCGCGGCGGAGGAGAGGAGAGCCCCTTATTTTTTCACACAGCCCCAAAATATCAGGATAACCTTTCCGAGCCGAATCCCTCTCCCCACTCCCTTCCTCCGCTGCAGCTCCGATGGCGATTTCTTCCTCAGGCATCTCCTCCACCTTCTTCTCCGCCCACGCGGTTCCCTTTCTCGCCTCATCCGCCGCCTCTTCCCCCTCTTCTCTCCGCCTTCTCGCCGCCGCTCCCCAGCTCCCTAACCAACGGTTCGTCCACACCGTCACCTGCGCCACGGCGTCTCCCAAGCCGGCGGCCGGCACTCGCCAGCCTCGGGGCATCATGAAACCCCGTCCCGTTTCTCCCGAGATGGCGGAGCTTGTTGGCTCCCCTGAAATCTCCCGGACCCAGGCTCTCAAGCTCATCTGGGCTCACATTAAGGAGCACAATCTCCAGGTCTTCTCTTCTCGTCCTTTATACCCGTGCTGTTTCTCTCCGTACACTGCTTCTTGCTGCATTGTTGTGGGAACAAAACAAAAAAAAAAATTGTGATAGGGTTTCCGTACAGCTGCAGGATATGTGTTTGATGAAATGACTCGGGTACTAGTTGGATTTACTGTTGGAGTTTTACGTGATAGTTCCGCACTTCGATGCTTGATAGGGTTAACTTGAGTTGCAATGGAAATTTGATAGTCAACATCCGACTGAGACCTGTAGCCTATAGATTGACCCCGGGTTCAAATTTCCGCTATGCCAGTGTAACTATGGATTTTGTGCAACGGGGAAGGTTTTATGGGACGAACTCTGGTGGTTTTGTTGGCTTAAATTGGTTTCTATGGAATGGTTGATATTAAGGGCTCTGCTTTAGCTTTTGCTAGTGGCTTCATCCTGTATTGGTTTTCTGAATCTCATTTGTATTACTTTGAGGGTTCTCTTCCTCCATTCCTTCTTTCTGCTGCCATTATTCATGTTTCATGTGAATGCAATAGATTGTGTCTCAATGTAGCTACTTGCTAGAAGTAGAAACGCGGCTCCCCTGTTGTTTTGATATAATGATGTCTCTCGTGTCTCGTCCTGTACTTCTCTATGCTGCCTTCTCTTCCATTTTCATGCTGTATTGTGGATTATTAGTTCCTTAAGTTCTCTTATTCAATGAGATCCTTTGACAAATAGAACATCTAGAGATTATGAGGTTTTGGGATGTAACTTTTGCCATTTGACTAGTGACAGAATCCCAAGTTGAGTCCCCATTTCTCTCAATGTCCTAAGTTAGTTTATTGATTTAGTTTATCAACTTTGGGTATTGTTTGAGATGATGGAAGATGCAGGTCTGTCAAAAGTTCTTACCTTGCTGGCTAATTCCGAGTGTCTGTCAGAATGATAAACCGGGCTGGCCTTGCACCATAATAAGAAGAGCTTTCAACACGTTAACAAAATTGGCTTACTAACCTTGGATATTTGCTATTACAGGACCCTGAAAACAAGAAGATCATCAAATGTGACGAGAAGCTGAAGAAGATATTTGCAGGGAAAGATCAGGTTGGATTTCTGGAGATCGCTGGCTTAATTAGCCCTCACTTTGTCAAATGAAACAAGGGGGGGAATATGGATCTAGAATCGACGCAGTGGCCAGTTTTTGGGGCAGAGACTTGAAAGATCATTTTGCGTGGCAGTTTCACAGATGGTGTAGCACTTAGTAGTTTCTTTAGTATTGTGGAAGGGCGACTAGGTATTTTCTTTCTTTTTTGTTCTTGAGGAATCCCATGGATTCTTGAACTTGTGGGTTTTCCTTGCTCTGCTGGTAGTTGGCCTCGTTGAAAACTTCTTAGCAAGATCCATAACAAGGTTGTGGCATGCTTCAGTTGTTTGTTTGTTATGTTACTAACCCTTCTCAATTTTCGCCAGTTTTTTTTGCTTTTCATCGATTGCTTACTCACATTTAGGTGTGCAACGGTTTGGTCTCATAGCCACATTTAGACCAGGCCATATCAAAAGAGGATTAGAGCAAGTTGAGAATGGCATGGAGAGTTTATTAGACAAAGATCTTGCAGGTCTACAAATCAATGTCAAAACCAAGCATATTCTTAAATGTGCTATTGAAAGAGAATAGTATGGCAAAGTAGCCATATGCAAAACTGCAAAAGAAATTTGGGACTCCCTGGGAACTATATATGAAGGTATGTTGAATATGAATTATTACTGAAATGTATGAAAGATTCACAAATATAATGGCTTAATGACTCTTGGGAAAGTCTACATTAATGTGGATTTAGCTAATAAGATTTGAAACTCCTCACCAAGGTCTTGGAGACCAAAGGTAATGACAATAAAAGAGTCAAAAGATCTAGCTAAGTTTGAGTTAAGTGAGTTAATAGGCTTACTAACTACTCACAAGAGTGCCCTAAAAATTGATGTAAATGATCCATCTTGCAAGAGGAAGGATCTAGCACTCAACTCTCATCTATAAGAAGAAGAAATAAAAAAGCATATTGCATTACTTTCTAAACAACTAGGTTATCTAAGGTTTAAAAGAAACACAATTTTATCAAAATATATCTCCGAATGACATGATAGTAAATATGGTAGTAGAAGAGAAATGAACAAAAATGTTGGAAATATCGAGAAGGGTATTGTCACTTGTTTTAGGTGTGGAAAACCGGGACACTTCAAATATGACTATTCAAACAGAAGGTTCGATAAGGAAAAGGCCATGACTGCTACCTGGAGCTGCAGCGATGAAGACTCGAATGAGTCCCGTTCAGAAAATGAGAATAAATGATACATGACTCTCATTAATCGGGTACATGACCTTGTTGGACTAAGGTTGAAGATAAGCAGATAATGGCCAGATCCTATCTTGCTAAAGTTTTGAGCTTTAGCAGTTGGTCAGGCCCAACTCACGAGTTCAGACGACTTATTCATAACTATCCATATTTCCTTTATCGTATTTATAAGATTATTTGTGTTCTATACCGTCTCCCCCTTAAATACAAATCAACCCAATATCAAGAATACTTCACATTATTACATCTCTTAAATGCCAAAAAAGTACGCCCATGAAATAAAATGACATTCCATTTGATAATCACTTCAAATTATAGGGTATTTTAGATAATAATTCATGTACTTAATTACTATCGAATATGATTATGTCTATAGATGTTGATGTGACTTGAATCGGACTACCGGTAGGAATGGCAAACCAGATCTGCCTCGGTGGATATTCCCCGATTCGACCTGCAATGGGGCTCATAAAATCTGATCCGTACTTGAACGGGGCAGATCTCGACCCGACCCGACCCATGTTAAGAACACATCGATGGGCAAATCTGATCCGTTTCTCCTAGAAGCTCTAATTCCACAACACACTTTCTAGCCCATTGGGCCATGATTGGTGTTTTATGCAAGAGTGAACTTTGTTACCCTCGCCCAGCTCTGCACCCGCTTCAATGGGCCTTATGCCTTTCTTCTTTCAATGAATTTGGATGATTATTAAAAATAAAAAAAATCTCTCATTTCTAATTTCGGACTTTATCCAGAGAAAATACCGCTTTTTCTTCTCGCCAAAGGATTCAATAACATCTTCCGGGAAAAAAAGCTCAAAAAGGAAAAGTGCTTTCCTCTCTGTCTCGCATTTCTCAGAAGCTCGCTTACTCTGTGCACCCACCGTCCTCCGGCGCTTCTCTGCTTCTCCATCACGATCTGACCTGAACTTGGGTTTTCGTGTTGTCGTTGTGCTGGTTGCTGTTTGCTCTGGTGTATGACGAGCGCGTCGGAGCTGTTTTACCAGAGAAGGTCGCGCGTTGGGCGGCTGAGCACCGAGTTACCCCTCGGCCTCGAGGCTTCCAGTTCCGATCGTGGTTTTCACCAAAATTCTGGCCGGCGCCATCACCACGGCCACAGCCACAACAACAACGGTGCCGGGCGGCATGATTTGGACGGATACGATACTCTCCGCAGATCTCAGCATGTTCGGCATGCCTGCCATCGGGCCTCTGTAAGTTTTTGATTGCCACACGTATTCCGTTTCCTTGCACTCGATGGCCAAGGAACTCGAAGAAATGCTTTGGATTGAGCTGTCGAAGGTTAGAAATGTGGAATTGGGGTTTGTGGATATTAGGGTGAACAACAGAAGTGGGTGTTGGGAATTAAGCATAAGGAAATAGAGGAATTAATCTCGTTAGTGTTTGGTAAGGGGAAGTTGCTTGAATTTCATGCTGGAGAAGGGGTAATCCCATGAGGATTTCACTGGAATCACCAGGCAGTTGAAATCCTGACTTAATCTGGAACGCTTGTTTGTTGGCAAGGGGAAGATGTTTCATGAATATTGGAGAGGCTTGCGTTTTAAGCTGCACTGGAACATGTTAAGAAAAATTAGGTGTTGTAGATAGCCTGCACAGCAGTGGCAACCATGAATAGATGATGGATTTTGTGTTTCTCTCTGTGTTGTTTTAAAAATTCTAAAGGGGGTAATCTCATTTTAGTTGTTCTTATTCGTTTCTGCAATGCATTGTGCTATTGCCAGGAACGATCCTCTGCACGGTTTGATCACGTCTCCCGGCAGTATGTATCAAACAACAGTTTTGGTCAGGAAGCTTCAAGCACATCAGGCCGGCCTAGGGTGACTTCAAATGAGAGGCTCCCTGGTGCTGTGCTACTTGCAAGGGCAAGGCTTCTTGAGAGATTAAGAGGAGTGTCCCTCTCTGGAAACCGGTAATCTTAACTTCTATTTGTATTCCATGTCTGACGTAGGGGTAAGCTTATGCTACAACTTGTTATAAATGCCAGTTAGGTGAAGCTGTTTTTCCTCCGAAACCCATCACATCCTGTAAATAAGGGTTAGCTTTTGTTTCTCTGAGGCTCTGCAACTTCATACATTTTATATGATCCTTTGGAGGAAATTTTTTGATGGACTTTGCTAGTGTTTTTCCACAATTCAAAGTACCGCGGGGGGTACAATGATCCACCCACTGTGCAAGTACTGGTGGTAGCTCTAAGCTTAGGCTCTTAAACATTAGAGTTGTGTTGCTATGCTGGCTTGTGATATCTGCTGCTTCTCCTATTTGCTTCTGTTTCACTATGAATTGGTTTTGCACAAAAATCTTCCCGTCATATTCTTTTGGTGAAGGTTTGACCTATGAAGGTTAGCACTCAACAAAAATTGCAGGGTTCAGTCCCTGATTTGCAACTGAGAATTTTCTCTTCAATCGAGCCGAACCACCTTTAGGAAGGCAGTTCAGATTAGACATAAATGCGTCATCCATATCCTTAGTGGTGCTACTAGCATGCTTCTTGACTGTTGGAAGGACTATAATTCCAGCCCCTCATGCTTTGATTTGTATGGTTATGTGCTGCCATCAAAGCTATTACTTTGTAGATGATAGATGAGCAAGCAGGCAACGGTCTAGGGCTTGGTTGCGGTTTAGGCTGTATGATCTTAGACTTTAGAGGTCGTTTGGATGGTTACCTCAAATAGATGGTTGGTCGAGGTGAGCTGTTTTCTTAGAAGTGGATTGTGACTGATGGGTTGTTGGAATATCCATCTTGCCCATCATTCCAAATCCAGTATAGCAACATTCCATCATGTTTTTCTTGTCAAATAGTGGACTCTGGGGATAATCACTCACTTGATGGATTGGGTGCCACAAAAGTGACCCCTTAGTTATTTGTTCATAAACCCACTCGATTGAATTCAATTATCTAACCTACCATATTATTCATCCGAACATAAATAAATAGAAATAAAAAAGCTAACACTCCATATTTGCTTGGTATTTTGCAGGCGAAATACAAGGTCTGCTGCCTTCAGCATCAGCAACGGGGAACATACATTTGGCGATGATCTCCGTGCAGTTGATACGGGGGACTGGGGGACTGATGTCCCTGCAGTGTGGTCTCCTGGCGGGTTTCCATTCCACGATTCAACTTCTGAAAGCGAGAGGCGACAATCACCCAAGAAGAAACCTCCTGGTTTATCTCCAGAGGAACTAGTTGGTCTGAAGATGGAGGTGTTTACTACTTATGTGGCTGAAAGTGGAGACGATGAGGGAGTGTCGTCAAGAGATTGTAGCATATGCTTGGAGAGTTTCATTGGAGGAGATGAGCTTATGTGCCTGCCATGTGGACATCGCTTCCACTCTGTGTGCTTAGATCCGTGGGTTCGAGCCTGTGGAGACTGTCCCTATTGCCGCAGAGATATAGTCTCCAGTAGTAAGTCGTAGTTGAAATCTGAGTTTAGATCCATGGCTTGTGTGCTTATAGACTTATACTTCTGATGAGAGACTGTCGTCGTCTTCCATGCACCTGAGATTCATGGTCTTTTTATTTATTCTTATGAGCATCTTAAGAAATGTTTCACTGTTTGTTTCAATGGGTATGGCAGGATTTTGTGGAATGAAAACATGAACAGAACCAATTCGAGTGTGAAATTGCACACTGTTGTTTTGGGCTATGGAAGAACGGCAGAGGGTCGATTAAACGCCTTTGAGGAGCATTTAACGGTAATTGACAACCGCACTAGGAACTCAACCTCGTTCAATTGTTTACATCATTGACGACCTAGTACTTTTGTTTAACGTCTTTAACTTGGACAAAACATGGGTTGCCTTCCATGAAGCACCCTTTCTTTTATGTCTTTGAGCTACGTGAGGTCTTTGGTATTTTAGTCAAGCAGCCAATGTGGCTTAGAAGGCAATGCTCCTCCCCAATCACCTCGAGGAGGAGATTCAAAGAAATCCTTTGGTTTGGCCTCGTGAACTCCTATATGCAAGTTGCTCACCATTTATTCGAACTCTTTACTTTTCTCTAGTGACTGAGTTCCCCTTGTGGCATTCCGAGGAGTCACGTTCCGATCCTTCAATGGAGAACTCCAACGAACAGGGCCTCAACTTTTCTCTGGTGCTGGTCAGACCCACTGTACAAGGCCTCAACTTTTTGGGACCTCATAATCCATTAGTTCGGAGGCGGAGCCAATGTGGGCCTCAACCTAGGCCGTATAATACTCAAACAGGTGTAGCTGACCCCTTGGGCTGGCTAGGCCCACACTAAAAACACATGCACGAGGACAGCAACCTGCAGGGTAGGGAATCGAACGATGGACCTCTTTTTCATTAAAAGGAGATTCAACCACTAAGGTAGGAGCAGCCAGCACGGATGGCACATATTGGAGCTTCACTCCATACCATGGCTGATCAGAGATCAAGTTCGAGTTCAAGTTCTCCGGTGCAACAGAGTTTGAGTTCTGATGAAGTCCATGTTGAGCTAGAGGACGAGTTGAAAGAAACCACTAATTTTGATGAGTTCCTTGAAGGCAACAGAGTGGTTTCTTCAACACCAGAGCCGCAGAAGGAAGATGGAGGTTTCTACCAGGTGATCACGGTGGAAAAGGAGCAGTTGGTTTATCGCGATCCTTTTTATGATGATTTTTCTTGCTGGGTCTCCCAAGCTTTGAGGTTCGTCACTGCTAAACAAAGAACGACGATCGCCGGGTGTGCAGGCTGGGTTCGAGGCTTTCCTAGAGAGGAGCAATGACGTAATTTTCATGTTTTTGTGGATGATCATTTCTGTCAGTGGAAGTACAGGAAGAAGAGACAGGAAGACGATGAACCTTGCTTGAGGATTCTAGAGAATTTCATTTGAAAGCTGGGCTGAAACGCTTTGAGGGCAAAGCTTCTTCAACTGGGAGGGACTGATGTGATGTGATGTGATTCTATTTCACCCGGTCGGCATCATTGAATTCCCCGATCGGGAAATTATAGGGGAGACCAGGGAACGAAGTCAGAAGCACCCATGGCTAGTGCAGCTACATCCCCGACCAGGTATTGTGACCGGTTTCGGGGCCTGACGAGTTAAACTTCCTTTTTCGATTAGGATTCTTTTTCTTTTTATGTATTTTCATTAGGTTTATTTTTTCCATACTTATTTAAAGGGTTGTAAACACGAATTTTAGGGTTAGAGAGTTGTTGAATAAGAATTTTACACTAAGGTGTGTTTTCCTCCATGGAGACGTTGTGCTTATGGTTTATTAGTTTAGTTATTAGTGGATTCCATAGCTAGGGCAAGATCCTTGTTTAAGTTTTTCCGTTGAAGGATCCAAAACAGTTTGGCAAAGCTCTTATCAATCAAGCGATCACACTTGATTAAGGCGAGTATCTATCTCCATGTATCCCTTTATTCTTATGTTAGTTTGAAGGTCGATTCGAGCTATCCAAACTTGAGTTGTAACTGCGGGACTTTGACAAAAGAACCTAAACTTTCACGAGCTCATAATTCTTATCACTTACCAAGACCATTTCATAGCCTTATAGGCTACCAATACCATATCATATAGCCCAATAAGGACCGCTTAATTCAGTCACAATTATCATTCATCATCACATATCATTCCATGCACATCAATCACACATTTGTTCATCACATTCCATTTCATAGTCTCATCTCGTCATATCATTCATACACACACACACCATAGCACATATAATAGTAACTAAGCATTCGTTATATTTCCATACCATGTATTCTTGTCGCTTCATGACCCGATTATCATATTCGTACTAACGTAGTCACTAGGTTAGAATTTACTCACAACAAACTTGCTCCTTTCTTGGTTTTGGTTGTAACCTTTCACCGATCCACCAGCTGAAAGTTCCTACTTCCTAACTATGGTTGTGAGAAGTTTTTATAAGGGGGTCGGTTATCATCATCTATGCCTGGTATTCAGTCTCTCATTTATTCCTAGCTACATCTTTGAATGATTATGAAGTAAACTCAAGATATTATGACAATAAATATATAGGGGTTGTTTGGAAGTTGTGATTCTTTAAATTGATGTATTGAGACAATTAGTGTATTATCATTTGATGGATTGAATCAATTGATGTATTAGGTAAATATCTTATTTGGAGGTTTAGATTGTGTTTTTTTTTTCCAAAGGTAAAAAAGTTAATATTGAGTGATTGTGAAGAATCTCAACAAAAAGTAGAGATTGTAAATCCCTCAATATTGAATGATTGTGGTGGGGCCTCCAAAAAGTAAATACATGTATTCTAATTCTATATAAACCAAAAAAACGACTTAATCTCACAAATACACGAATTAGATCAATACATCATTTGAAATCACAACTTCCAAACGACCCCATAAATTTTTGGTTATGGGGCCTAAAATAGTACTTTCTACATGTCAGCAGTAGTCCCCAAGTTCCTAATTCTTTGATACGAAAATGAGTAGTAGAGTTTTGTATGTAGTAGTGTTTTATTGCTTTGATGAGTAGCTATTATGTAGTGGATATTTTATTTGATTATTAGCGATTCTATAATAGTTATTTCTCGGTAGTAAGTTATGTTGTAAGTAGGCATGAGTTTTTATTATTAGCAGCATTTTGCTAGACTACATCCGTAATTTTTGCATTCGCCGAACTTATTTATAATTCAAGTACTGATTCATACTCAAATCCGAATAAGCTTCTCGTTACTTTCCATCACTAAATTTAACTTACAAATAATGAGTTGTAATTAGAATAGTTATGACTTATGATGAATAGTGAGGATGAAGCTAACCTCTTAAAAGTTAGCATGCAATCTTATCTAGTCCAGTGAGGCATAATCAAGTAAGAAAATCAATGAATAAACAAATTGGGTTACTGTTCAATTGGCCAGCCAACTAATAAAGGACTAGTAGTTATTGACTTTTTATCAGCATAAATATATAAAGTATTTGGATTAAGTTGGCTAGAAGACGTGGAGAAGCTGGTCGAGTTTAACTTGTTACCCCAGCAATCACCCTTCAGTAGAAAAAAACTTCACGAAGTTGAGAATGCTTTTTAAGAAGCAATAATTTCTCGTTTTCCACTTCTAACCGATTCGACAAGACGTATGACCTAATATCTGTACAACCCAACTAAAAAAGCCCACACTTTTTTGTTTGCCTTCTAAGATCAAAGAGTTGTCCAATTTTGATGTAACGGAGGAACAAATACTGTTCGCGTTAGCGCTATCGATCACTACCGATCCACTACGTACATGGGTTAGTCTTCAAAAGGTTTAAGTTCCAGAACCAAATCAACTTCAACGGAAGATTGCCCTAGGAATGGTATCTGTTACAGTTGTGTCAACATCGATCATGGTTGTATTTGGCACACTATATTAAATATCCTTACCAATTTTTTCGATCTATAATATCGTGGCCTCAACTATTCATCGAAGTTACGAAATTGACCAAACCCGAGATTTGACCGTTATCTTGGACGGTCAATGCGACACGACGTCACTGCCAAGTCAGCACATACCACTTAAAAAATGAGGAGATGGAGGCATGGTGTACGCTGCTCTGGTTCTTATGGCGGGAGAGGAATGCACATATGTTTAACGGAATCCGGCTATCTGAGGATGAGATCACTACTCGCGCACAGATTTTTCAACAAGACTACTACACCCACCAGGCGCGAACTGAGGTTCCATCCACGACATACACAAGGGAGGTGAGATGGAGGTGTCCTGCTGTGGGGGAGAGTAAAGATAAATACTGATGATGCTGGGGTTTTTGCGACGAGAGGGTATCGGACTGGGGAATGGTTGCACGAAATCATGACGGAACTTTCCTTTATGGCTGCTGCAAAATGCGTACCAAGCAGCTGGGAGGTGGAGGAGGCTGAAGCACTGGATGCTGAATTCGGAACTCAAGTCGCCTACCAGAACCCACATAATGAACCCTATATTGGAAGTGTACAGTATGGGTTTGGTGGACAAGTTGACGAGGGCGGCAACTCTGCAATCTGAGATTGGTACTATACGTCGAAATACTAAGCACTATCTTTCTTTGATGGGTACGAGTACGACTACTTGGCAGCATGCATGTTGGTAGAGAAGGAAATCAAGCAGCTCATGTAATGACACATGTTAAGACAAGTTGGAATGAGAGGGTAGTCTTGGATGGATAAATCGCCGATTTTTTTATTGACCCGCTACAGTTGGATAATGTAACCGCTACCACTAGTTAATAATAAATAATACAGGTTTCCCCGAACGAGCTCTCAATTAGTGTACGATGTATCTTGATTTTCACTCTTTGTTGGGGTAAAGCCGAAATCAATGGGTGTTTAGCGGGGGAGAACAAAGCAATCATGTATCATAATAAGTAAAAGAAACCGTAAGACCCAAGCTTAATAATCATCTCTCATCATTGGTCAGAGAGAAAAGAGAAAGAGAGACAGACACTATTGCCCCCACAAACCCTAGCTAGCTGGATGCAACGTGTCACTCAGATCTTCCATCTCCCATCACATGTATTGTCCTGGTGTGCCTGGGCCTGCCACACCACCCATCCAAACCAAAAATCAGACCGCTGGCCAATCTGTTCAGTAGGCCGTTGGTCACCATCATCGTCTGATCTCCACTTCCCCCAAAACCAAATATCATAGCCAAGTTAAAGCAAAAGGGGCCGGAAAAAGAAAATAAAAAACAAAAAAAAATAATAATAAAAACCCTATTTTGTTTTATCCAAGGTTATTAACAGCGGTTGAGTCGGAACGGTGGGGGAAAACAGGTGTTACACGGTTATTTTGGACTTCTTCGAACTCGTTTCAGTTTGGTCGAAATCCGGCAAAAACCAGTGTCAACTCGATCGAGTAAAACTCTACCAAAACTAACCAACGAACTTTGATTCCTAAACCGTAAGGCTAGTTTGCCTGGCTTTCACAGGTTGTTCTGGGTTCATTTCATGTGCCAATCACGAACTTATCTGGTGGATTTTTAAGTGTGTTTCCATTACGGCCCCGACATCCTGCTTTTGAGGCAGTGGAGTCCTGGAGCGAACTAGATTCAAGTACGAACTATTATTTTGGTGTAATGTTATATATATATATGTTAGTACTCATGTGTTAGACGAGACTTGATATAATTTATATATGAATGAACATTATAATCACTTTCTTATCTATCCAAAGTCCGAACTAAACAGAACTAAAACGATCAAGATCATTAACGCTTCACCCACCTGCTCAACCGTGCCAATTGCAATGGCGCTAAACCGATCTCATAGCCATGGTTCTATTACTACACTATGCTTTTTGGTAAACCAACCAACAAATTATATGCTTTTCGTAATATACTTTTTAGAAAAATTAAATTCGCTTCCTTCTCTTTTACTTCTAGACAAGACGAAGATCTAACATTTCCCCTCACTCTATTTATTCCCTTCATTTGCTCTCTCTTGTGTCATCGCTCACTCACTCTCTCTCTCTCTCTTTCTCTCTTCTTCCCGTTTAGTCTCTGAGAAAAGGAGTGAGAGTGTGAGCCAGCCAACAAAAATCCCCCAAACATGAAGAACCGTTCAGCCGTCGTTGTCCTCTCCCTGATCTGCATCGTAATCGCCGGCGTCGGAGGCCAGTCCCCGGCAGCTTCCCCAACCGCCACCCCGGCCCCGCCAACTCCCACCACCCCCACCGCCTCTCCTCCGCTCGCCGCCACCCCTCCCCCGACATCCTCCCCGCCTCCGGCCTCCGCCCCTCCTCCGGTCTCCACCGCACCACCGCCGGCCACACCCCCACCAGTCAGCTCCCCGCCGCCGGCCACTCCACCACCCGCATCTCCTCCGCCGGCTTCCCCTCCCCCAGCCACCCCGCCACCCGTAGCGTCTCCCCCTCCGGCCTCCCCGCCGCCGGCTACTCCTCCTCCGGCCGTTCCGCCGCCGGCTCCCCTCGCTTCTCCGCCCGCCACGGTCCCAGCTCCCGCTCCGGCCACGAAGGTGAAGTCTCCGGCTTCCGCTCCCTCTCCTTTGTCCTCAAGCCCGCCGGCTCCTCCCACCGGAGCTCCCGCCCCTAGCCTCGGCGCCACCTCTCCCGGTCCCGCCGGCCCCGGCACTGATGTGGTACGTCGTCGTTTCGCCTTCCTTTTTTTTTCGTTTTTAAGGGCGGGATCAGGTGTAGCCAGATCCACCGTCCCCGTAATGTAGATCACTAACCAGATAAGCTCACAAACAGATCTTGGTCTGCTGCTTCCCCTATTTTATTTTATTTTTACTCGGGGGAGCCGCAATTGCACGTGAAAATGGAGAGAGAGCTGTCAGGAAAACAAAAAATTATATTAAAAGTTCACATTTTGATAAAATTGAAAAGCAAATCTGAGGAGAGGAGAGGCTCGGTGCCCGAGGACTGATGGAGGTGTCAGGCGGGGCCCACGAGTCGTGCTGTCTGCCCTAGTTCAAACTCCGTTAGTCTATGGGCTTTTAACTGCTCTAATTACGGGCCCAATAATAAGCAGACCCGATGAAGAATTAAGACCAGCCCATTTACGGGTCCAATTGCTTTCGGCTTGAATTGGTGGTTGTGAATGGTAATTTTGATGTGAACTCACTGGAGGCTGCTGTTGTGTGTTTGTTGGTTTTGCAGAGCGGAGCGGAGAAGGCGATGGCTGGAGTGACGGCTACCATGGCGGCGTCTTTCTTCTGGTTGTTACTTTAGAGAGAGAGAGAGAGAAGTGAGAGAGGGTTCTTCCTCGAGAGAGTTATTTCCCCCATTCTTTTTTGTCGTCTCGCTTTGTATTGCGATTGTTTGATTTTTGTTGCTCTTATTTGCTGGCGGGGATATGGTGATTGTCGATTGCTTGTTACTTTAATACTGTTGGCCTACAGTTTATGATGATGATGATGATTATTGTTACTACCTTCCTGCATTTCGATTAATCTATGGTTCTAGTACTGGTGCTGGAGGGCGGGCGGAGGCTGCCATTTTTATGGCTACTTTTTTTAAAGCTCTTCTCGGCGATTTTGGTTGGTTGTTTGTTTCTGTTATGAGACAATCCAAGTACCACATCGATATATTAGTGTCCATCAAGCTCATTAGTATGCGAGTTTAGTTCAAAGAGGACGATATAGTACTAATGGGCTGACTGATTATGATAGTTTCGGTCTACTTTTCTATGCAAATCGATCCCCCAGTAAGGGAAGAAGAGACTCAGCTGGTTGTTGAGACTTGAGCCCTTGTCTTTTATAAATCAGAATCTTTTATCCGGTTATGAAATTGTTTGCTCGACGAAGATCAAGAGTTTGTTTCGTTTTGGGAAGAGAAACACTAGTTATCAGTTCAGTTATATGTTAGACTAAAAGCCATTTCGCCCTACTAGTAACTGCACCACTAACATTTATACAGTTAACCCATCGATTATTAGTGTTTAACTGCTAACCGAAACCGAAACATTACCTCTCTTTATAACATTCAAAATGAAGACCTTACATGTGTCCTTCCTCACATTATGGGCCATAGGAGAGCTTAATCACAATTTCCCAACGGGTCATTACATAAACCAATTGCCAACGTTTTTCGTAAGTCAAACACTTAGGAAGTGAAATATATATATAAAGAAAAGCCAGCAATCGAAACACCTCTGTATCATCTTATTTTCATGCATATAACCACCTATTTTGATAGATTGTAGGTTTCGCTTGACCTAATTGGATGATCACCTTCATGAATCAAGAACCAAACACCCCATACACAGTCAAGGCACAAAATGATAATTAAAAACAATCAATTGGACAAGATTACTAGGAATTCGTCAATCTCATTTAAGACATAACAGAATCTACATAAGTTAGCGCGGTTTCTATCCCAAAGTATCAATGTGATTACCCCGCGAAAGAATGAAGAGGAAACACAAGAGATGAGGAGACGAGCCATCTTCTAGGAGTATTCAAATCTGAAACCTCAAACTTCCCAAAATGAGAGCACCCTCCATTTCTTATCCAAGCCGTCTTCGATTTCTTCTGTTTTAGAAAAAATCCTTGCCTCTCTAGTCTCTTCTCATAATTGTGCTACAAATGGAAAACAATAGATTATAGATCCCTTTCTGAGAAATCAAGTCTTCAAATTCATAGGCCTTGGGTTGGACGAGTTCAGGCCTGAGCAAGCCCATGATCTTTCAAGTGAGCCCATGATCTTCCAAAATGGTATTGCTTGATAGGGTTTGACTGTTAACTTCATAGATCGCAGCTTCGGGACCATGATCTTGAGATCACGGTCGGACTACAACCATGAGCTTCCATCACTAAGGCCTTTGAAACTCTATATTTATTTTTAGCCAATTTTTCATAGGGTGATGAAACGTAAAATATATGATTTTATCACCTTATTCTATTATTTGTTTTGTATCTTTTTTTTTTTATATCTTAGTCGTTTTAACTTCGATGTAATGTGATTGATATTCTCTCTTGGGTGTATTTAGAAGCTCTAGGCGTGTTTGTATACATTTGATGAGTTTTTTTAATAGTATTTTGGTGCTTTCAGCCTATGACACAGTAGTGGATGTGGATCACATTTTGTATGAGCAGTGGACATCAAGACTCATGGACTAAAAGTTAGCAAGAAAGCCGCAAGGTCTAACCCAAATAACGTCCGATTTTGTACCCTACCTACACACATTTTGGTGGCCTGGTCGACATTTCCCGGAGATGAGATTTTTTTACTCCAACTAATTATATATTTATTTTCTTTGACTAGACCGCAGATGATGAGTTGATGCCCGATGCAAACCTGATGAGCTCCAACAAAGTAAAAAACAAAAAAAAATCACATTAGCATTCTTCGATTGTTAAAGACCTAGCTAATGAAGTAATGGACTAGAGAAATAAAGTTTTATTAGTGATTACCTCGACTGTGCTCTGCGGAGAGTGAAGGTAATGATACAATCAAGAACTAAGACTGACCAATGACCCTTAATTTAATTGCGAGGTTGATATATATATATGAGAATATGGAAGAAGGTGCAACAGAATACGAAAGGAAAATGGAGAAAGAACTTATCTCGGTGTGTGATATCATGGTTTTCCCCAATAACAGCAAATCGAAGATTGCAACAGGCATTTTAGGGTTCTGCATGCTGTTCCCGACGAAATCGCCGGCAAAACTAGCCTCCAATTGACCAAATTTCAGGATAATGATTGCCTACTAGCAATTATCGGCGAATAAACAGCCTGGATGGAGAGGAATTCGTGGGGAATCAGGGGAAATTTTGAGTGAAACGAATGCTCGCGAGGATTCGATGGAAAGAAAGTAGCGAAGGGAATGGGAGCAGTCAGCCGCCACGAACGATTGTACTAGAGGAAATGAGGATTATGGTTTCCCTGTCCTTCGTTTAGTTTATACACTGATGTCTAATACGACGTCGTTTTGAAAAACGGGGGCAAGGACGATGTAGATATCACGAGATCCATTGCCACCTGTTACACGCTACTCGCGGGTTGCAGGCATCCCCGAATCGCGGGTTGGTCAAGGTTGTCAAGCCTACCCCTCTCAAATACAAGCAAAAGAATGATGGATTTGATCACATAATCATTAATGGCTTGTGATTATTATTATTCTATTTTCTTACAGAAAGATAGCTTGTGATTAATTAGGGGTATTTGGGTGTGAACTGTTGAAATTGGGTACTGGGTGTGACAATAATATGGAATTCCTCCTGCTTTTTTTTCTTTTTGGTGCATCGCTATTCTCTCTCGTCGTCCTCTCGGTAGCCCCAAATGAGGAAATGATCCAGTGCATCCGCTCTCTCTCTCTCTCTCTCTCTTTCTCGCGGGTCCCGCATGATAGCCTCTCTTTTCTGCGTTTCCATCTCTTTAAATCACTCGCCTACTCGCCTTCCTTTCTCTCTTCCCCTTCTGCTTTCACTGTGCGCACCCTCTCTCAGCTCTCCACTCTTCACCACCAACCCAAAAAAATCAGTCCCTGTTGGCTACCGGCGTTTCCAATCCGCCATCGCCGATCGCATTCCTTCTCTCTATGGAGAATCCACAGAACCCTCTTGGCATTCTCCCTTTCCTCGTCTGAAATACACTTTCCGGCTGCCTTCCTTTTTTTTTTCTTCTCTCTCTCCTTTAATTCTGGGTTCAGCTCCGGGAAAACAAAATCAGAGAGAGAGAGGGGGGAAAGAATGGAGAAAAAACAAGGGTTCTTCTCGGCTCTGAAAGATGAAGTGGTTCGTGGGCTTTCCCCATCTCGCTCGCGCTCCCGTTCCCGTTCCTGCAGCCCTGCCCGAACCGCTTCGCCGTTTTCGGGTCTCCTCCGGCGGAAGAAGGGTTCCGGCGCCGCTAACTGCTACGTGTCCCAGCCGGAGCCGTTGATCGGGAGATCCGGAAGCTTGAGGCCGGTGGTTGGTGAGACGCTGACGCCGTTAATGGAAGGCCCCAATCCCGACGGAGAAGGGGACCCCAAGCCCGTCGGGTCGAGTCTGGGCCAGTGGATGAAGGGTCAGCTGTCGAGGACGCCGTCAGTCGCCGCTGGCGCCGCCTACAGGAGGTCCGATCTGAGGCTTCTGCTCGGAGTAATGGGTGCGCCGTTGGCTCCGGTTCACGTTAGCAGCACGGACCCTTTGCCTCTGCTCAGCATTAAAGACACTCCCATTGTAAAAAAAAATTCCTCTCCCCCACTCTTCCTTTCCAGTCCCTTGTTTTCTGTTTTGGTTTTTGGGTTTGGTGTTTTTTACTCAGTTGGGAATTAGTAGGGATTGCTCTCCATTTCAGTGTCTAGATTTGCTTCAATTCTCTTTGATTGTTCATTTTTCTCCTAAAAAGGTTGCAAATTCGGTGAGGCTTATTTGATACTCTGAAAGAACGGATTTTTTTTTGGTTGAACACCAGATCCATGCAACATCTTTTTGTCCTTACTTTTTTGGCTCCTTCAGTTGCGGTGTTTGGTTGGTGGGAAAACTGGAAGGAAAAGAAAAGAGGGTCCTTATGACTGGAATGTCTCATATTTGTGTTGCTTGTTTTAGCTTTTTTCCCATGGTTCACTATTTCATCCTCCCAATCAGCTTCCATGAGAGCAAGGAAATTGTTGTTTTCCTGTCCATATCATAAAAAAATGTAAACAATGGATGGTTTGCTCTATTTTTGTGTGGCTCTTTACGATTTTGATTTGATCTTAACTGAGTAGGAAAGAATATATAAAAAAATATTGGCTTGCATCATCTGTCTGATGTGATATCCCACCAAATGCATTAAGATCTTTGACTTCATTCAAATTATAGGAGGTGTAAGCTCTCTTCAAGCATTTGATTTTCTATGCTTCTACGCAGGAAACTTCCTCGGCTCAGTACATATTACAGCAGTACACTGCAGCATCTGGAGGGCAGAAGCTGCAGAACTCAATTCGGAATGCTTATGCTATGGGGAAGATCAAAATGATAACATCAGAGTTCGAGACAGCCACAAAGGTTGTGAAGAATCGAAATGGTGCCAGAGGCGCTGAGACGGGCGGATTTGTTCTCTGGCAGATGGATCCAGACATGTGGTATGTTGAGCTTGCAGTGGGTGGTAGCAAGGTTCATGCTGGCTGCAATGGCAAGCTTGTTTGGCGCCACACCCCATGGCTGGGTGCCCACACTGCTAAAGGACCTGTTCGGCCTTTGCGACGTGCACTTCAGGTACGTATTGGCATGATTTTGATGTATTTTAGGTTTATTGACAGTGTCAAATGCCCCACAATACATCAACAGTTCCAATGAAAAGTGATTTTTTTTTTTTTTTGTTGAATTGTATTTTGGTATTGCAACTTTCACCCCATTCTTAGATACATCCATCCAAACATCCCGTTTGAAAATTTGCAGGGTCTTGATCCGAGGATCACAGCGAGCTTGTTTGCTGATGCAAAGTGCATAGGGGAGAAGAAGATTAATGGGGAGGATTGCTTTATGCTGAAGCTATGTGCTGATCCCCAGACATTGAAGGCAAGGAGTGAAGGTCCAGCTGAGATTATAAGGCACGTTCTGTTTGGCTACTTCAGTCAAAAGACTGGACTTCTTGTTCACATGGAGGATTCACATCTGACCCGAATCCAATCCAACGGTGGGGATGCGGTGTACTGGGAGACCACAATCAACTCTTTCATGGATGATTATAGGCCAGTGGAAGGCATAATGATTGCACATTCTGGTCATTCCGTGGTGACCCTCTACAGATTTGGTGAGATGGCGATGAGCCATACCAAGACCAAGATGGAGGAATCTTGGAGCATCGAAGAGGTGGCTTTCAATGTCCCGGGCCTCTCGGTCGACTGTTTTATCCCTCCCGGAGACCTGAGGTCCGGTGCCATCAGCGAAAGTTGCGAGCTTCCTCTGGACGAGAGAGCGAAAGGCGCCACATCGATAGCAGCAGCAGCATACCGGGCCAAAGTTGCAGCCATCGAGAAGTGTCACGATATGCAGGTGGACAGCAATCTGTGGAAGATGGAGCTTTGAAAGTTGGTTTTGAGGGTTTAACACCATGGGGGAAGGAAAATCCAAATTCAAAAAGTAGGGCAATTGTTTATAGTGAGTGGTGACTAGGTTTTTCTGCTGTTGACTAACCCAGTTTAGAAGAATGGTGATGGGTGAAGCACACTATTATTATATTAGGTCGTGGAGGAGGGGGTTTCAAGTCTTTGGTCTTTGTTTTGGTTGAGTCCTGGGACTTGGGTTAAAAAATGCCTCTGTTAGTCTGTAAATAGGAAGGAGCATAATCATCATTCTTGCAGGTCGTAACTAAGGGCGGCCTGGACTTTGATAGATCCTTATGCTCTCTTAGGTGCAGAGTCCAACCTAGGTGAGTTGGAGGCTCAGTTTTCCAGTTAGGGATTGTGAGCTAACGGAGGTGGAATATATTTATAGTTTTTCCACCCTCTTTTTATTGTTTTTTTTTTCCCCCACTTGGTTTTCGCCTTCCATGGTTTTGAGGGGAAGGTGGGTGGAAGGGAAGGAGTGTTTTGAGATTTCAGGAACGTAGAAGGAAGGAGAGAAAGGAACACCATTATCAGCCCCAAGCCAGGCAGGCAGGGCAGGCAGATAAGTGTAGTAATTATTGTTATTAATTATTGCCATCTTTTGAGCATAAGAGACTAGAGAGCAGAAAAGCACAGAAGAAAGGGAAAAGAAGCTGCTATTGATTTTTCGTGCAGAGTTGCATCATTTTGTTTGTTGTTCTTCTGCGCTTGATGGCGTGGAGAGATGTATTAGCAGTTTCTTTTTGGAAAGAAAATGCTAGGTTGTGCAATCAATAAGACATGAGGTTGATATAGAGTCTTACAATTTTTCTAAGATTTAAGAAGGCGCTAGGTGTAAGGCCGCGACTATTGGAGTCTTGCCTGTAGCCTAGGCGTTGCCTAACCAATGCACAGGCATTAGACGTTCAGTAACTAACATAATACTTAACAACAAGAAAAGTAGCTTACAACTACATGTAATCACAGGTCAGTAGCTTATACAGTTCTTGAGCTAGGAAAAATTGTTGATATAGATGATCGTGTTTGTAGATGATGGTGATTTCTCCTTTTAATATTGACTACCTAGCTCACTCTATTATGCCTAGACAACACCTATGTGTCTCCTTACCTCATAGTATCTTCTTAATTTCTAACTTGCTGCGAAACTCCTAAACGAGGCGTTTTGGTGTTGCCTATTGCATAGGCATACTTAAGCGTAAGGTTAAGCACACCTTCTTGAACCATGATGTTTTTTGTGTGGTTTTTTCATTTTTATTTTCCAAAATTTCTTTTCAAGCTGAAGTTTTAGCAAAAGCATACACATTTTTCTTAATTTTTTATTGAAAATTAGAATTAATACTATTACTTTTTCTTCTACTATATATTTTTTTTAATTTTTTCCAAACGTGTTCCTTTACCTGTATTTCAAATAAGAACTACCCCTCTTCCCAACATGCCCTTAAATAATTTTTTTTAACAAAAAACATGGCCTTAAATAAGGTTGAACCACGGTTTGGTCATATGAAAAGAATCAATTGATTGATTGTAAGATCGCGTAAATAATTTTAGTTTATATGCTATGGCGAAGCATCTCATGACCCAATGGGACTTTAATCATTTTTTTCCAGGCTTCCTTTTTCAAGCTCGGCCGGAACTTTAATGGAGGTAAAGCCCTAGCTGTGCGGCCTCTCTTATCCATCCTTGTTTTTGGTTTTTTAATCCTTCTTCCCCCAGTAACTTATTCAAAGAGTAACAAAACCCCAATATCCGAGTAATATCATTAATGCAGATCGTAAAACCGTTTTATACCGTAATGTTACGTTGATTTAGTAAGTGATATGGTTCGATCGAGATACAACCAATTTATATGTCGATTTTGACAAAGCATATGAAAAATTGGAGAATCATTAAAATCAAAATGAATTGTGCATGTATATAATCTGTTTTAAAACAATCCACCTATAAGTTGGTATTAGGCCTAAATAATGAGCACTTCTACTATGCTATATAGTATTGGTGCTTTAATGTACAACTTAAAGTTGTACCATAACATTAAATGTATAAGTTTAGGTTGTACCATAAAGCAATTTGTACCATTATGTTATGGTACAACTTTACAACTAGAAGTTGTACCATCACATAAATGTACAAGTTCAAGTTGTACCATAAAAGAATTTGTACAAAAAGTATAGGTACAATCTAAAATTGTACCATAACGTAAATGTACAATTTTAAGTTGTACCATAAAAGCAAAACCCTATAGCACCAATACTATATAGCATTGTAAAATTTCTCCTAAATAATAAGATCTAATAGTTCTAAAATCTGCTTGAATTTTTGTTGGTAAAGTGGAGTTTGGCTGGTAACAAAAAGCAGCTAAGAGAGAAACACTGAGACAGGGCTACTGAATTCTGGTCGGTTAGACTGCACGCAGCTCGTCGCCAAGGAGTGTTGTGTAAGATTGTGTATGAAAATGGGTAGCAGCTAGCATTGTAAAAAGATGCCATTCTGTTCAATTAAAGGCTGAGCCTGAGCACCATCTGACCGTGAATGAATCAATGAATATATGAACATGTTTTTTTTTACCATACACAAGTGGGTTGACAGGATTTGTAAGGAATGTCATTGTTGTTGGAGCGGTGGTGGGCAAAAAGTGGAGGTATAATGTTGCTCTTGATGTGCCTTCGCCAGTGGCTGGCAATCCTTTTTTTTTATTTTATCTATTGATAATGATATCTTACCTTTTGGGAATGGATGGAACTCTGCTTACGGTAGGGATGAAAATTGGTCCGGTTCGCCGCTGATCTTGTCTGATCCGCTTTTGAAGAGTTAAGATGTATAACTGACCCGTCCCACTCCTGTTTCTTCCATGACTCTGTCTGATTCTTTAGGGTTCGGGCGGGTAAGGAAGGGTTGGGTCAGTGGGTCGATCCTAATAAATACACTATTTTGTAAAAATTATAATTTGGTACTCAAATTTATTTTTTCTTACATTTTAGTACCTCCATATTATTTTCTTACAAATAAGTCCCAAAATTTTTATGTTAAAGTTACGTTTTGGTACCCAAAATTATTTTTTTAACAATTTAGTACCTGAACTTTTAAAACTTTACAAATAGGTCCAACGTGTTTGTATGATGCTAAGGGTCATGAGGTCAAAAAGTGACCCGACCCTATGCTAACCCGACCCTAAGCTGACTCTGTAGACAAACTGACCCAGCCCGACCCTGAGGGTCGGGCGGGTCAGTGGGTTTTAAGGGTCAAACTTACACCCCTACTGCGTAGGCCTTCCCTGAAGTTAAAGGATAATTGTAAAATCATATTGAGGTTGTTAAATAACATAATTTAACAGTTTCATACTCTAAATTTATAATGAATTGCGGAAAGTTATCCTAAAATTACTAATCTTCATTTCGATGCAGATGCAATACATAAATTATCTTATTGGTCATTTTAATTTTACATTCAAATCACCCACCAAACAACTTAGTCGACCCCTTCTCTCTGGACGAAAAACACCGGCAAGAAACTCGACTACTAGCCTATGCTCTCCCTCTACACTACAACGATGATGATGAAATAGTTTCAAATCCACTTCAAATTTTGGCTTTGCTGGTGGCAAGCTCGTCTTTTAACCCACACTCAGAATCGCCAACGCCGACAAGAACCTCTTGTGAAAACAATGCTTCCCTCTTTTTAATCGAGCTGCAAGGATAGCTCATAAATTTACCATCTATATGCATATTTGTCTTTCCTTGTTAAGCTAACGTTTTTGAATGAAAGATTTCAAAGAGCAAAGTCGTTTGAGTATATGAACAAATATGGCAACAAACAACAATAGATGAACAAATACTTAGGTTTGAATTCTTCTAGTGGTAGAACGATATGTGATTGATGCAATCAAGCAAGTCTTAACAAAACTTCCCTATCTTCTAGGTTGTGAGAAATATCCTAGACTAGTGAATAACTATGTTATGGACTCAATCACTCTTCTAGGTACCTACGTTATGCCAATGGCCATGTAAATAACTAGGACCCTAGAGCATTATCCCTAGACTTATCCAATGGGTTAAATTCCTGTGCTACAACCCTTTATCTTTTATAAAGGAAGTTGTTTCTACAACCCAATGCTCATGCTCATATTTAAAAATACATTTGATAGATTGTGACGAATCGATGAGCTTATTATTTATCAGTTTACTTGTTTTCGAAGTTAGTGTTGCCTTATTGTAACTGTCAGCTACAAAGGAGCATTTTCAGCTATGAAGTTAATAAAAACGATCTTCAAAATCGATCGAATGACCAATTTATGAATGATTGTTTACTTATTTATATCGTAAAAAGTTTGATTCACAACATAAACGGTGAATTTATTTCACAAATCTTTAAGGATATGGAAAACATTAGTGGTTCATTCTAAAAACAATGACATTGTGAATTTTATAAACACATTTTAATGAGCTTATTAATTATTTATAATTTATAATTTTATTTTTCTGCCCAACACACTTATTCAAAAGTTCTGGATCTGCCACTTATACTTATAAACTATCATGTGTATTTTTATTTTGTTGTTTCAAAAAAAATTAACATGTGTATTTTGCTAATATAAAAGATAAGTGATTCACAACATCTTTGGTTTATCGATGCAAACTTTTCCTTTACCCCCTTCAATCTTCATTTCTTTTCTTGTTTCTTTAACTTTGCCTTTTTCAGACATTGTCTCCTCCACTGATGTCCTATTTCTCAAACTCTTCACTATTGTGAAGTCGTCATGATGTCATACCCATCGCAATTGGCATCCACTCTTTTTCTTCTCGAGGAAGCAAGGTAAGGTTTGCTTCACATTCTGGTCAAAGTTCTGTGCCAGCTTGCTACTCTCCCCAGTCTCCCATGTCCAAAACTCCACACTAAGGTTGTCGATCCGCGGGTCGATCCACTTTGACTATGATCGGTGTGAAAAATGGGTTGTATCTATTAGTCGAGTCGACCGCTACAAGGTATTGGGTTGGAGATTAAATTGTGACATTTTTTTCTTTGGTTTGCGAAATGCGCCTATTTTTCGATTTTCTTTTCGCCTAACTCAATATTTGGAATCCGTAGTTGAAAATTTGAATATTGATGTTATATAAGTGTGTGTGAATTTTCACTATAAATTGGATCTAAGTACGACATGTTACTTTGGTGTAATGTTATATGTTATTACTCATATGTTAGACGAGATTTGATATAATTTATCAGGATAAGTACAATATAATGACTCTTTCCATAATTCCGGGCTAAAATGAACCAAAACGGGTGACCCGTTAACCCTTGACCCATTAACTTGATCGGATCCGGATAAATCTCTGGTTGACAACCTTGCTCCACACACAAAATCACCAAGTGATGATGAATGAGCTAGGCTGGCGGACTATCTAACATTACCGAATTGTCCATCCGTTATGCTTATTTATTGGATACACCTTAAAGGAGTGGGTAAATGCTACATTTGGTCACTGAGATTACTAAATCGTGTCATGTTTAGTTACTAGAAAAATTTAATATCAATTTTGGTCACTCGAATTACTGAAACAAGTTATATTTAGTCACTCTCACGTTAGTTTCCGTCCAACTTCATTAATGAAGTTGGACGGAAACTAACGTGAGAGTGACTAAATATGACTTGTTACAGTAATTCGAGTGTCTAAATGTTACACGTTTCAGTAATTCAAGTGACCGGAGTTGGACGGAGGCTAACGAGAGAGTGACTAAATGTGACATGTTTCAATAATTCGAGTGACCAAAATTGATATTAAATTTTTTTAGTGACTAAACATGACACGATTTAGTAATCCTACTGACCAAATGTGACATTTACCATGAATTTAAGGATTGAAGTAAAAGTGGAAAAGGTTCTCTACTAAACTATGTTTACGAGATGAAATTAGTTTAAATTCTTAAACCTAGTTCGGTTGTAGACATTAAATGCAATTCACAATGGTGA